GTAAGCTTGAACATGTAATGCAATATATGCGACCTAAGAATGCCTGTTTTTATGGCACAGTTAACTCCAGGCAGATATAAATTACACAAATTAATTCAGCTCTGAATTCATTTATACATTTGAAACTGCATGTTTTAATGCATGTAAGGTAAGTACCTGAATTTGACCTTGCAATTGACCTTGCATCTTGCAATTCCTGTACAACAAAGCTCGGGCTGGAAGAGGGAGAAGCAGCAAAAGGAGTCAATCAATTGTGATGCAGTGCTCATGTGCCAACAAGGAACAGACTGATAGGTGGAAAGAACAGAGATGATCACATCAGTCTGCTGTTTCTCCTATCACTGTCCAATCACAAACTCTTGGAGAGACCTCCATATGTTACTTATTTACAGCCAACAGGCCTCTGCTGTGTAAATCCCAGGGCTGGATCCACAGAAATACACATCCTTTGGCACGGAAAAACAGCTCACGTGTATGTAGTTTGTCTGTGTATTAGCTTTTTGCCTGGAGTTCAACTTTAAAGCAGAATTCCAACCAAAAATAACAAGATAAAAATAAATATCCCATAAAAAGGTAAAATAACAAAACCAGCTGTTGCTGAAATATTCACCTTTAATCCAGATGAATTCAGTGAGATAGCAAGTATCATTTAAATCACTTGCTGTTGGACCCGTCTCAGCATGTGACTGTACAGTGAAAGAAGAAGCAGCACGGTGATGAGTTCATCTTTCTGTCACTCTGCTTTCTCTCCCTATTAGCATGCTTCTTGTCAGCCCATGAACTGATTGGTTCTTTGCACTCCTGCTCTGTCGTACAGGGATTACAAGAGGCTGATATCAGGTCAGGTACTTGCACTACATGCATTTAAAAAAAAAAAACATTTCATAATGTATTAATGAATACAGAATGTGCTTTTGTAACTGCCTACAGTTCAGCTTTAAGCATAACTGCTCATTCCGTTTAGCTCAGCTGTGTCCGCTGTGTCCGCCCATTACGTTTTGAACAGGTTAAAGCTGTATTTCCCTTTTCTTTACACCTTCATTTTTTCTTCATGCTGTTTCCACTTCCTTGTTTTATGAAATATACAGGTTTATATACCGGTAATATACAGATTATAATTAGTTATACTTTGACAGGTAATATACAGATTATAATCAGTTATACTTTGGCAGGTAATATACAGATTATAATTAGGAACTAAATCCTTGCGCTTTTTAGCTATCACATTTCAGCTAAAAATTCCCTGCAGTAACTAGCCATCCAGTCCTCTTAGCATTATGCAGTGAAAAAAGAAAAATGTGTTTTAAACTTCTATTGCAGGGAAAGGCAACCTTGGCGCTCCAACTCTTGTGGAACTACAGATCCCATGAGGTATTGCAAGATTCTGACCGCTACAGGCATTATTCCCAGAGGCAGAGGCGTGATGGGATTTGTAATTTCACCACAGCTGGAGCACTGAGGTTGCCTATCCATGTTCTATTGGAATGGACATGCTTTGGCTATTTGTTCCTGTTGTCAAATTGTTTCTTATTACAAAGAGTTTCTAACTGAGGCTGACTACATGTGGGCATTTGAAATGATAGTTTGTAAGCTATAGTCTGAAGCATTTCCCACTTAGAAAGCCTTTAAAGTACCATTCAGCTTCCATACTGAACTGTTAAAGGATATTAACAGGAGTGCTGGTTGTAGTTTGATGGAAGCATTAAGCAGCCTTTAGCTGGCATTTGACAGTCTTCATCACAGCATGGAGCTTGAGTTCGGGGAAGTTTAGATAAGTTTGGATACCCAATCCAAACCCCATTGAAATCAATGGGAGTTGAATCAGTCAAATCACTAATGGTCATTTTCTTGGCTCTTAGGCTGGGCACACACCTTACAACCATCGCAAGACTTTTGTCTTGCGATGGTTGTAAGGTACTTAAAAAAACGTACGATCTGCCTATCTTGCATAGGCAGATCGTACTTGCGATGATCGCAAGCCACGCCCCCTGAGGGGCGGGCTTCCGATGACCGCAATGCCGGACGGGCATTATGCACTTGCGCACACCGGCCCGTACGGCTGTTATCGTACGGACATGCCACAAACCCGCCGAACATCGCACGATGCTCGGCGGGGTTTCGAACATGTCCGTAAGTTTAAAGTCGTGTGACCTTACAGTAGTAGAGGTCGCACGGCTTCCACACACCTTACGATAATCGCACGATCGCGGGATTTCCCGCGATTATCGTACGATTATCGTAAGGTGTGTGGGGACCTTTAGACTAGGGATTGTCAAACAAATGGCATGAGGGGCTGAACAGAGCCCTAGATGACATGTACTAATGCCAAACAAAACTTTATTCAACCGTGAGCAGCAATTTTAATAAATCTGAACATTTAAAAATGACCAATTCTTTTAAAGCGACACTAAACTCAGGAGTTAAATCTTAAAAATGAATTCAAGTACATTAGCTATTAACAAAAATGTCTCTTATTTGTGTATCACTGAGCTATGGATTCTCAAATCATCTCTGAATTGGTGCTGACACTGTCCTTCCTTCTGGATGGTGGCTACTTTTGTTCTCCATGGTCCCTGTGTGTGTTGTAAAGTAGCCACTGCTCCAAGCTCTTTCACGATGGACTACAATCTCACATTTGGATTACTGAGTTTAGTTTATTGAGATTGTAGTTCATCACAGGAGTGAGCTTGGAGTGGTTTTCCTGCCAGCTTGTTTTTCTTTGCAAAAAACTGCATGGAACCCATCAAAATTACATACCGGACCCTTAAGGCGGGTCCCCATTCTGTTTTTACCAAAAACAGTGAGAATGACAAAAAAATGGCATGGGATTCCCCCTCATTTCCCCCCTTATTCTAGATGAGGGTCTGTTTTGGACTTTAAGAGGGAGCGCTACACAAATACAAAAGGTATAGAGTCCCCCCCCAAATCCATACCAAAGCGCCTTGTTCCTATGTTGATGAGGACATGCACTACTTTCCCACAACCCTGGCCTGGTGATTGAGGGGTTCTGTGGATGGAGGGCTAATCTGAATCTATTTAGCCCATTTCAAAATAAGGGGGCCCCCAAATACCACCTCCACATATGTGAATGACATTTGATAAGGCCTTCATTAAAAACAAATCCCACAGTGTAAATGCATTGTCAATTACGCCATCCAGTGATGTAGATCCCCGTCAATCACGATGAACAATGCTAGTCAAAAGGAAAAACAGATACCAACCATGCCCCTTTGTTTACAAGGTTGGGGATTCCTGTCCATGTAAGTGAATGTGCCAGGTGATGTCAGTGGTTGCTAAGGATGTGGCGGGTGCAGACACCCACTGCTTCCTTAGCAACTGTTAAGCTATTATATATAGTATAGGTAAAAATACCGCTAATATATTGGACCTTGGGCTCCTTCCAAACAGAGTAAATGTTCAGTGTTTAGATAAACAGCTGAGCAAGCAAAGGTCAGACTGAACCTGTTTTCAGGCTGACCTTAGAGCTCATCCCTACTTGCTATATATGTCTGCTGCAGCCTGCTAGAGGATTTGACAAAGATTGAGAGTTATATTCTAAATTTCCTAAAGGAAACTGAAAAATGTGTATGGGGCTTCAGCCACTTCGTGCTTTTTAAATGCTTTGTAAATGTTTGCTGAATGGGATGCTCTTGAAACTAGAATTTACATGCTAAAATGTAAGTGTCTGTTCTGGCATTTTCTTTAGGATAGAGTGGGGAAGGATTTAAAAAATCTTACATTTAGTTTACATATTTGTATTGAGATTGCAGTCCATCACAGGAGTGAGCTTGGAGCGGTGACTACTTTACAACACACACAGGGACCATGCCATGGGAAATAATAGCCACCCTCCAGAAGGAAGGACAGTGTCAGCACAAATTCAGAGATAATTTGAGGATCTACAGCTGAGTGATACACAAATAAGATACATTTTTGTTCATAGTTAAAGGTACTTGAATGCATTTTTAAGATTTAACTCCTGAGTTTAATGTCACTTTAAATATTGCATACCTTCAGTAATGCTGAGCAAGGAACAACGATTATAATAAGTTACCCAAAGAAACCAATCAAATTTTAGTTTAGTGAATGTAGATTAGTTCCTAGATGCTGCTGCAGATTGTACATAGCCATTGTTCTTCAACTGTTTTATTGAATAAAGCTGATAGTTAAAAGCAAACTTTGTATTTTGTTTTGCCCGTGGTAAAGCCACTAGTATAAATAAATAGAAAAATACTGAAACTTCCAGTTGCAAAATAGGTTATTATGCATACATATTCCTGAGCATTTATGGACCAGATAAGTGGCTATAAACTGCAGTTATACGTACGGTATTTGGGCACTGCAATTTTATAGCTTCAATGTCTCTTTCTCTATCTTCTATCTGTTGTAATTTATTTGTCTGTGTTCTGTGAGGCTCAGTTAATAAATTAAAATAATTATGTAAAATAAGCAGTACTTTACTGAAGTGGAAACTCTCGTGGGGAAAAGTTAAGGCAAGGGCGAAATCAGCATACTGCAGACCTGTTATACTGTAAATCATGCTGGCAGGGTGGGAAGGGAATATATCTCAAGCAAGCTCCCACCTGGGGATGTGTCTGGAGTAGACACCGGCAGAGATTTTTATCATTATAATATAATGATATAGTCTCTGCGAGGGCCAGTCGTTTCTGAACCACAGCTATAAACCGCAGGCAGTAAGTAACTGCTAAAATGTCATATACATAACTGTGCTGGAATTGAGATTTGAAAAGTATTCCATAAATATTTATTGCATTGTCATACAATAAACCAGGTTTTTGTGGCATGTCGGCATGATAATCCCGTTAGCTTATTTGGTGCACTTCCAAACAGAAGCAGAGCATGGATAAATCTAGATCCTTCTATCTTTATGAATTGACTGCTGAATTAAGAGCAGCCTCTTGCTTGGTTTGATGGCTTCTCTCTCCGTTCAGCATGATAGGATTCTAATTTATCCTTTTTGACATGTTGCCTCTCAACAGCTCTTCAAGCAACAGCCCCCACCTCACAAGGGAATGAGCAGCAAGGTCCAGCGTTCATGCCACAGGAAGACCTCAGGCTGATAAAACCAGAACTTCAAAGTCAAGAGCCTGGACAAGCAACACAATTGGAATTTAATAATGCCTTGTCTGCCACTGACAGTGTAATATCTACTACAAGGCATGGGTATGAAAAAGGAGGCAGTGATCCAGTAACATCAATAGATTTAAAGGGAATTTCAAGTGAAGTCAATGTGTTATCTTCAAAGCTGCTTAATCCAGATTTCACTGAAGAAGTGCAACAAGAAGCAGTGACCAGTGATCCACCAGAATCAGATTATGTTCACAGTTCAAGGCTGCTAACTACTACACATGCCTCTATTGGGAATAGGATACAAGGTACAATAGGAACTCAAGATACAAAGGTGACTCCAGTTACAGTCAGATGGAAAATTAGCAAACATGAGGTTTCCAAGGGACAGAAAGAGGACTGGTCATTGAACATGGTGGACAGGACATCAAAACCGAGACAGACGAGTTGGAGGGAGATTGTAGAGCAGGTGGAACCAGATTCTTCCGAAGAAGTTTCAAATGCTGGCCGAGTACCAAAACAGCAGGGCGTTAGCAAAGATATAAGTTCAGTTCCAGAGGATGGCCAAAATTCATTGCAGTACATGTGGCTTTTAGGTAAACATAATTCTCTATCTGCTAAGACCGATGGACCTGGTCACATTTCTGATACCAAATTACTTTATGAACACTTTGAATTTTCCACCCCCACAACAGAGTTGGAAAATGAAAAGCAAAGCCCTACAGAAAACAAAGAAACTAGTTTACTAGAAGCCAGCCATCAAAGCACGTTGGCTTCGTTTGACAATCCAACTGGACAACCTGACAAAATTGGACAGCGGCATTTTGAAAACACACTTGGCAAATATGAAACAAGTTTGCATAGGGATATTGTATGGGAGCCTGATAGACCTGATAACCATATGCAAAGTAACAATGAATTGACAACTATAGGAAACTGGGATAATGACCATATACTTCACGCTGAATCTTTGTCCAGTTCCATTGAAGTGAAGGATACAGAGAAATTGCAACCAAGTAAGAATGCATTCACATACACAAAAATCCAACTTTTCAGTTTTATTTAATATATGCTAGACATGTGGAAGAAACATCCTATTTGTTGCTGTAGAGAGTTTATTTAGTTCCCTGAAAATCAATATTAGCATAGATCCTGGGATGAATAGGTTATTATAGAAGATTATTGAACAGATCAGTAAAAAAAAACCTTGCAACTAGAAAAGTTTACAGAGCAGCAAAATGTGACACTCGTTGTATGTTAGAATCCATGCTTTGCACACAACCACTAAAATGAACATGCCGACTGATCTTCACAAATGTGTAGTTTTCCATAGAGAATGCCTGGGATTCCAATGCTAGGAGCATCTATCTATTTAAAAATAATTTTATCCCTGAAGGACTGGGATAAAGGGGGTTCCAGGAACCACTAGTTGTCTTAGGGTAGCATTTTATTAGATTCCATTGGTTTATGACATCAGTGAACTTATGTTCACTATATCATTTTTCCACAATCCAGTTTCAATTGCAAAGTGCATTTAAATCTAATATATTTTTGATAATTGTACTTCACTAAAACAACACACATAACACATAAAAGGACCCCTATGACTGAGTATTAAAAAGTAAAATAATGTAATAATAACAGTGTTGCTCCACTATCTTTAGCCATTGCTCAACTTTTCTCCAGATATATTGCACTCAATTATATTGTACAGCTCTCTATAGTATACTAGACTCTACTCTGGATGATTATCACGCTGCTTAATGTTATCACACTGCCCAACAAAGTATTAATTAACTTAAAGGAAACCTGTATTAAAAGCAAAACTGGGACTGCCAGTTGCCTGACTGTTAAGCTGATTTAACAGCAATAATACTTTCTGGGTCTCTAACCTTTTAAAGAATTGAAGCATGATGATTCAGACAGTCATGCATCTACTATTTTCAGAAAGAGTTATCAGCAATAGTAGCCTCCATGATTCTCTCATGATTTGTGTCTTCAAATGTTTTGAACTTGTCCCCCCAGTTCTGTACAGTAACATAAATATTACTCATGATTCCAAATGCATAGATTCAGTATCACTTATTTCATTGGTCCTGGTTTTTGGATGGCATTGAAGAATTAATGTATAAGACTCCACTAGGCTGTGATCCAGCATGCTTCCACCATCAGACTGTATTCTTCTACATATGATAAAGTGGGTTCCCTTTCCTCATGTGAGAATAATACATTCTTCGCAGATTAGGCCAAATGGCCAAGAGACATCTAGGTGGCAGGGCTCACCTAACTAATGGTTATAAAATTTAGTTGCATGATGCCTGCCTTTCTGGCTGCTTTTGTGCCTTCTTGAGTGCCAAATTTCCAGATCAACCTTTTACATAGTATTTGAGGTTGAATAAAGACACATGTCCATCAAGTCCAACCTATTGTGTGTGTGTGTGTGTATAGATCCCTGAGTCATCTCGTTAACGATTATAGACCTCCGATGGATTACCCAATATGTCCCTTTACCGTTTTTATCACACTACCAGAATCATCATCATCACCAGTTCTATTACCAGTTCTATTACTAATAAGATTTCAAAAGAGGTCAATAGCTTGGTTATACTTTACATATGTATAGCTAAGAACTGAAAGAAAATCATAGCAATTTGATCATATTTTTATTTATATAACATGGCAAATAACAGATATGGAAGTGAGATCTTTGCTGTCGTTTTCCTGCAATCAAAAAACGGAATTGAGGTCTAATTACTGACAATGACAATCTTATTTGCATGTCTTCTGACACATCAAGCTGATTTTTCCACTTTAATTTCAGGTTCAGTAATGCAGAGATTTTTTAATTATTCAGAAATCCAGTCTAATATCCCATCAGTTGGTTACCCAAAGGATATGAGTACCTCCTTTTAATAGCCCTTGTTCTAGATCTTTCAGAATTCGACATTTGAATGTATTCATTCTTTGGTCAGGTCATATGGTATAGTTGGTTTGAGACAAGGTATCCTTAGTAAAGATTGTAGATCAGTCATCTTCACCAACAAACAACTGATGCAATTAATAGTTAAATCCAAGAGGCACTATCTTTCCTTGCAAAGTGAATAAAGAGATGTCAGCTTGCATAGGGACATGCTGTGTGCAGATGAATTGCTTTTATCCCTTGTTACAAGCTTCATTTAGCAATGAATTTGCAGTCTTGATTACAGCCCATACTCTCAATAATGAACTTTCTGAGGCTCTGTCTTTTAACCAGCGATGCCCACAGCCGACTACCCTCAGCCAAAGTCTCTCTGGTGGGTTCTCTTTGCTAACATTCCCTGTGGTAATGGGAGGAGATTTTATCCTGCAAGAGCAGCCATCTGCGCTGCTAATCTAAGGGTTGCCATATTTTTACTTAAGTCTGTCCCAAATGTTATTGCATGCACTGATGAGTGTGTTAACTTGAAATGCTTAATGTGTCAGTGGGTTTACTTTTGCTTTTATAATACAAAAGGATTTGTGAAAAAAAGGAGGTATGTGTTGTAAGGAGGGTAAACTTGCTGTAATGAGTTACTATCTTTGATCTTTCTCTGCTCCAGCTGTGATTCCCTATTACTGCAATTGTCTAGCGGAAACAAAGCAATATTAGGTAATGATGATTTTATGAGGGGATGCAGATTTCATGTTATAATGGAATAATTTTCTTCCACAGTAGTTATGGTTGAAATAAAAACGGTGACGATAATAGGACAAAACTAAATATTATCATCAACCCACCAGGATGAAGGGCTTTATTTTTAATCTTCATTGGATATTTGCTGATACACCAGGTTCACACTATCACAGCACAACTATTGTTCCCCCTGCCATTGTCAGCATTGTATTCCCTTGAAAAACACCTTGTAAACAAAAACAGTTATAAAGGAAAACAATGTAATCATCTAAATGTAGTGTGCTTTAGGAAATGTATCGGTGTATTTGCATTCATTGGTGGGATCAGGGAGCAGCTTCAGCCCCTTCTACAAATTGTGCTTGTATTGTCACTTCAAAACCTGGTGACAAAGCTTGTATCCAGATGTAATTCTGAAATAGATATTCAGATCTGTTTTTAAAAATAATACTGTTCTTTTTGGAAATGATGGGTTCACATTTTTTTTTGGTGGAGCAAAGACCACCTTTAAAGTGACACTAAACTCAGGAGTTAAATCTTAAAAACACATTCAAGTGTCTTAACTATTAATACAAATGTATATTATTTGTTTATCACTCAGCTATAGATCATCAAAGCATCTCTGAATTGGTGCTGACACTATCCTTCCTTCTGGAGGGTGGCAACTTTTCTTCCCCATGGTGCCTGTGTGTGTTGTAAAGTAGTCACCACTCCAAGCTCACTCCTATGATGGACTACAATCTCACGTTTAGCTTACTAATTTGTATTGAAATCATAGTCTATCACAGGAGTGATCTTGGAGTGGTGGCTACTTTACAACACACACACAGGGACCATGGGGAACAAAAGTAGCCACCCTCCACAAGGAAGGACAGTTTTAGCACCAATTCGGAAATGATTTGAGGATCTACAGCTCAGTGATACACAAATAAGATACATTTTGTTAATATTTAAAGTACTTGAATGCATTTTTAAGGTTTAAATCCTGAGTTTATTGCCACTTTATTATACCCTTCAATGTGATCACTCAATCCAAGTATTTTCTTTCCCCTGGTCCAGTATGATAGAAACTTGTTTGCATTTTCCTTGGGTATGACCCAGTTCTACAATTCATTTTGCTTAAAGCTCAAGTGAACTTTCAGTTCTAATCAGCTTAATACATTAGATTACCAAAACAAACAGTGTCTAATGTGTTACAGTTCAATTTCTTTAGAAACGAGCCACAACTTGAGTGGAAAAGCCTGTCCCCAGCAAGCATGCTATAAAGAACCCTTGCTCTTTGTGTGGAAGCAGTGGTCTGTCTCTAGAGGTCTGACCCTTCCCCCCCCCCCAGCGCTCTCAGTTGGCTGCCTATACATCCTTATGCTAGCACTAGCCCAGACCACATTGCTATGGTGTAACATGGTCAAAATCAATGGTCATGGTCACCTTACCTGAATCGCAGGTTCTTCTCCCCACAGGCTGCTGTTTTGTTTTGTTTTTAGTTGTGCAGCTGTGCGTGGCTCCACCAACACAGTCACCTCATCCATCTACAGGAAGGAGGAACTACAAGTACCGCCCACCATCGTTTTTTTTTTTAATGCGTGTGTTCGCAGAGGCTGGGGACTTTAATTGTTTGGGGGGATTTTTAATGTTAGTTTTATTTAACTTTTTATTTTTTTAAACTTTTTTTATTTTTGTGTATTTTTCATTTTAGCTTATTTAACTTAAGAACCCTAGCTTTGACTCAGCAGAGGACATATGAGACCTCTACAAGAGACCCAAAAGAGAGCAAGGGTCCTTCTCTGTAGCATGCTGGCAGGGGACAGGCTTTCCTACTAAGACTGTGGCTGTTGTCTAAAGAAACTGTAACACTTTGCACACCTTTTATTTTGATGCACCAGGGATGTATTTAGTTGATTTAAACTGAAAGTTCAGTTGAGCCATAAAGCATCATCTTCCTTGGCAGCAGGAAAGTGAAGAGAATATAAATCTATAAAAGGGCAGATAAAAGTAATGTGTAATCTAACAAGGATTATTCAACAAAATCATGGTCATCAACAATCACACTGAAATTCTCTAACCAGAGAAGCCCTTGTTCTATTATGGAACCATGGCTTTCAGCCTGATGCATTAAAGTTTGCTCAGGCATGTGTTACATGAGAAAAAAATTGATATGAGTTTAATTTAAATTGTTATTTTTTTTCTTACATTTTCACACAATTTAATGGTTATGTGAATTTGTAAAAAAAAAGATCATGCAAAACATTTTCCTATTTGATTACATGTGAACAAGAGGCATGCAATTTTTGTATATGAAGCGCATTTTCCATTTGAAAAGTAAGGGATTAACTGCAAGGATGTAGCAAGTCATTAATAGGAAGGGTGTCATTTAGTATGAACCCCAATGGCAGAATGCGTAGCATAGCAATTTTATACTTTCTTTGCTGCCAAGACATCAAAAATGTTCTGAAAGATCTTCTGCAATTCTACTCTCCCTAAACACTTGGAGCTCCACCCTGGTTGCCTTCAGATTTGTGATAATCTACCAATACTTCTCAAGTATTCCTCAGTTTTCACCTGAGTGAAAGCTGAGATGTTAATTTTCACATGTAGATACCATTTCATATGACTGAAAACAAGTCATGAATAAAAAGTAAAATTTAAATACAAATGTGCATGAGAAATCTTTTGCACAAGATTGGTGTTAAACAATTTGCATAAGAATATTTGAGGTAAATATACAAAGATGAACATTTTTTCATACATTAGAATGCGTCCAAAATACTTTCAGGGGTAGGTACCAAGAAACTATATACTCTGTAGTGAAGAACTGCAATATATGCATCAGGTATTTGATATTTATACAATAGAAGAGGCAACAGCTTAAACAGCAGCTTGCGGGTTAGGGGCCATCGGTTATATTGGGTCTTTTTCACAAATGTTACTGAGAATTAGGGATGTTCAGATACCAAGTACCATGCTCAGTACAAGTACAAGTACATGTACAGATACTTTTCCAGCTCCAAGACTAGACTAGAGAAAAATTCAGAAGTTAGGAGGCAGCTGTCATTTGTGAGGAGCACACGGAGCTCCTGGGATTTGTACATCTCTGTTTTAATGTATGATTTTGTTTTTATAAATATAAATAAAGGGATGCACCAATACCATTTTTTTTACGTACAAGTACTAATACTTGTCCAAGTACTCACAGATACAAGTACTGATACATTTTTGTTTTTTGTCATGTGACAGTTTTTCTAAAACAATACAGACTATGATTTCAGGACAATGGTGGAGCGCCAGAGCCAGGTCCCAGCTGCAACCGCTGCAACCCTGGTAGTTCTCATGAAAATGCCAAGTATCGTCACTGGTATCTAAACTGGTATCTGAATATCCCTACTAAGAATAATTTAAAAAATGATTAGATATTAAACAGACCTACATTTCTAAAAAATGTATTAGCGCATTAAATTATGAGCACACCTTTTTCTGTAACCAATGTACTTTATTGAGCTTTTTTAGTGAAGCAGTACAACGAACACTAAAGGTGCAAAAATGCAGTACCCTATAGCAACCCACCAGATTTTGGTTTGAAGGCAAATGTTCATTGGTTGCTATACATTTTATACATCATCACTTGCCAACTGAATACGTACAGGATAAAATACACATACTGTGCATTATGTATTACACAATAGCAATTAGATTTAGTAGGAGAGTAAGAGGCTATTTAATGGCCAAATGCTTTACACACTGTAAATCTATGTTTCTGTGTAAAAGCCAGGATTAATTGTCCCCGAAGAACATCTCGCTTTGGGCAGAAACGTTGACAGGTTCTTTAATAAACACGTCCACCTAATCTCTTTGTTATTGTGGAGTGGCCATTGATTAAATGAGCACCATTCATCAGGCAAAGACGGGGGGGGATGGGGGTTTATATCGAAACAGGGGACAGAGGCATTCAGGCTTGAAATTAGTGTCAGGAAGATAGACTCGTTCCCATTTTTATGGCTATACTATATGTGTAAGTCTGGCCTTAAACTTCATCAATCAGGTCTAGAGGGACAGATATGAGATTTTAGTTATAACAGCCCTATAGCAAAAAGATCTATTATGTCAGAGGTGAGAGCACATGCTCTTATAGCCAGTTGGGCTGTGGTGGAAGAGGGTTGCTTTTAGGAGGAATACAGTGGCTGGTAATACTCGTTTAAGTAAAATATTAATCGCAGTCAATAATGCTTGCCAACTGCCAATTAATGGAGATAACACATTTGCCCCTTTTCACATATTTTCTCTAATGGGTTACAACAAACAGAGTCAGAGTTTGTTACTACAGCCAAGCCATTAAGGCGGGATTGGGGCTGGAGAACCTCGCATGTAAGTCCTATTTTTTTAAGCAAGCAATGAATGGAACATCATTACTTTCTAGATAATTAATACATTGCTCTTTGATACTCCATTTTACTGAGTACAGCAAGCATCATTTTAAAAGGCACAGCTCAAGCTAGGGACTTATCTCTTATTGGATGGCTCAGTCCATGGTTTTTATCAGACATAGTTAGCAGCAAAGAAGGCTGCTACTACTATGATGCATCTCTAGATAACAAATAGTATTCTGTAAATGCTTTGCTATGTGTAAAATGTTTAATTGTATTGTGTATAATATATTTGTATATATATATATATGTTTATATATAATTATTTTATTATTATTTATTTATTTTCACAGATTGGGTTACACAGGGTACAACGACAAGGGAAGCCAGACCATTTGTGCCCATTGTTGTTCATTGCAAATCCTTGTAAATTGATTCGCATACTGGCAAATTATAATGAGAACCCAAAATTCTCAAATCTCAACATGGGAAACAAACAATAACAACATGCACACACTAATATCTCATTGCTGTCGCCAGAGCTCAAGATATCACAAAGCACGCAAAGTGCAGGATCCTTGTTCAGGGATGGAGTGATAAGGAAAGAGCTTGCCTTGAGAATGTGTCAAGGGCTGGGAAGCAGTTATCACACCCTGCAATACTGCCAGCCAGAAAAATGCAAATATTGCATCCAATCTGGAGCACGGTAAAGCATGTGTAGCAGATAGGTGATAGGTGATTCCCATATGCTTTCAAGATTTACCCAGCTATCATGTGATCTAGAGTCCTTGCACAATCACCTTTCCCACTTTCCACACACACACACCAGACACGTTTGACATGGTAAGTGCCACCACCTGCAGTTTGTCAGTCAACTGGTCTGTTAGGCAACCATACACATACACACAGATCCCTGTTGCTGTCAATGAGATATGTTCCTGGCTGTGGCATGTATGATAGTTTCTATAGATTCTCACTAATCTTTTAGAACGGACAATCTGATTGTAAATCTGCAAAATGCAATCAGATTTTCCATCCGTCAGCCACTTGCTGCAATCACAGAAAACATGAGGGCGCAGCCACATGATGCAATTTCCCAGAGATTAGCAGAAAACTTACAAACCAAGCTCAGAGGCACAGGTAACAGTCTCTCTAGGAGTTGTAAATACTTTGCTTAGTACACAGAAGGCCAACTGTTTTATTTTATATTTAATATTCCAAAAATGCAGAATAGTGCATGGCAATATGATTATTATACAGGATTTATATATTGCCAAGAGTTTGTGCAGCGCTTTACAATATAAGGAAGACATTACAATTACAATACAATTCAAGACATGATGGTAGAGAGGGCCCTGCCCGTGAGAGCTTACAATCTAAAAGGGAGGTGCAAGTGATACATGAGGAGGTAGCTTTATGGGGATGAATTGTTTGAGAAAGTGATAGTTCAGTGGTTAGTTTGAGGAGGGATAGGCTTCCCTGAAGAGACGAGACAGTCGGAGTGGGAGATAGATGAACAGGTTGGGGCGTTCTATAGGATGGGAGAGACTCTAGAGCAGTCCTGGAGGCGAGCATGGGAGGAGTTGACAAGGGAGCTAGAGAGCAGGAGGTCTTTGGAAGAGCGGAGGAGATGGTTAGGGTGATATTTTGAGACAACATTGGAGATATAGCAGCGGGCAGAGTTGTGGATGGCTTTGTAAGTGGTTGATAACATTTTGGATTTGATCCTTTGGGTGAGTGGGGGCCCCTACAGAAAAATTAAGAGGGGGGTAGGAGTTAGATTTGTAGCTGACACTAAAGGAGCACTTAGATAGGCAGAAGGAGAACCATGGGAGGGCAGAGTCTTGAAGGCCAATCGAGTGGAGTTTTATGAGGAGTAGCGGGTGGTCAACTGTGTCAAAAGCAGCAGAAAGGTCTAATAGCAAGAGTAAAGAGTAGTGGCCATTGTTTTTAGTTGTTAGTAAGTCATTAGTGAGTTTTAAGAGGGCGGTTTCAATGGAGTATTGGGGGCGAAAGCCAAACTGTAAGGGGTCGAGGAGATTGTTATCAGTGAGTTGGTGGCTTAGGCGGTTGTAGATTAGGCACTCTAGGAGTTTGGAGGTGAATGGGGGTAAGGAGATTAGCCTGAGATTGTTAAGATTGGTGGGATCCAGTGTGAGTTTTTTGGGTATTGGGGTGATCAGTGCATGTTTTAGATGGGAAGGGAAAGATGCCAGTAGAGAGGGAAAGATTGAAAATGTAAGAGAGTGTAGGATAGAGCAAGAGGGTGACCGAAGTAGTGGTGAGGGAATATGGTCCGGGGGACAAGTAGTGAGGCAGGTGCCAGAGAAAAGTTCTGTAGCCTCCTATGTAGTGACAAGGTCAAAAGAGTAGGGTAACAAGTGCGATGGTGGGTCTGGTACGTTATTAGGGGAAGGTGACTGGACAGTGGAGATCTCATCCCGAATTTCATCTATCTTGTTTTTTAAATGAATGGCAATGTCTTGGGCAGTGAGTGAGTTAGTGGGTGGAGGCAGTAGGGGACATAGTAGAGTTAAAAGTAAAAAAGGGTTGACAAGGACTGGAGCAGCTTTAAACAGTGTGAAGTCTTGCAGAAATGTAGTTTTAGGTCACACTCACTCAAGAGCATGGCTATGTCTTTTAAGATTTCTGTTATCTCCAGTTTGCCATGGATGAAGTGGGCATGGCCTAAGTCTGCATGTAGTGAGGGGAGCCAAGGTGTCTAGGGAGGATGTGAGCGAGCTGTTGAAGACAGAAGTAGCCAGGTTGGGGTAGGACAGGGGTGAGATTTTGTCATAGAGGTAGTCAGTAGCAGAGTAGAGAATGGTTGAAGTGGTGAAAGTCTCTCCAGGTAACAGTGTGCTGATTAGGGGGATTCAGGGTTGGGGACAGGGTGAGCATGAAACTGACATGGTTGTGGTTTGAGAGGGGAAAAGGGGAGTTGGAGAGGTGTGTCCATTGTGTTAGGTCGAAAGAAGAGGTTAGGCTGAGAAGTTGAGTGATAGCTGGGGTGTTAATGTTAGTAGCAATATTGAAGTCTCCCAGAATGATAGTGGGTATTTCAGAGGTGAGAAAGAAATAATAATTAAAAACAAAATCAGATCAAAAACAAGAAAGAAAATGACATACACAGATATTGGCTATTTGCTATGAAACAAAAATGGGGAAAAAAACAGAAGTAAACTTTACCATTTAGCCAGTATCATTTTATCGTGTTGGTGGGAGCACGCCAGGAAAAGCCAGTAACCGCCTTGTTCAGAACAAGCTCTGGATGAATTACCTTGTGCATTTGCATGCCACTTAATTTTATAGGGGTAGAGATGTGGGTTGCATTCCTTTCGCTTGGGCAATCACCTTTGTGGGGTGGTACCCCTCAGACGTGAGGAAAGTTCTGAATAGGTCATAGGGCATCTGGACCATCTGGTTCTGATGGTTCATCCCAATCACAGCAAGTCCAAACACAACATGTCTGCTGTGGACAGGGTCCATATAACCATTTAGTTGGTTTCTAGGTTTTATAAGGCCAGGGCGTGCCATGCGGTATCCACATGCAGCTCATAGTTCATACTACAACTGTATAAGAAGGAATAACTCTCCTCTCCCTATATGTACAAGAGAAAAAACATATTTTCTCTTTGGCAAATGAGTAATAATCCCAGATGGTTTTGTACCCCAGTAGTCACAGAGTGTGAGAGGATTGTTTTGATAGGTTGCCCCTAGTGAGGTGATAATTGATTACCTTTATCTGTAGCCACAAGCCTACAAGATCCTGTTAGAGACTTATTAGCTGCAAAGTGTTAATTACACAGATCAAGATGCCTACTCAGATTCTGGTACCACATTTGACATTTGTCTATAATACTGAACTGAACTCCTTGGGTGAATAATTTTTTATATATATAGAAATAAACAAAAAAACTATTGACAAAAAAAGACTCAAAACCATTATAGTTACCCTTGCATTGCCTGAAAACAAATATGGTTCTGTAAAAACATGCTTAAAAGGGTCTGTTAGCTACTATTTTTTAACGACTCAGTTAGAGTTTCAATAAAATGGAAAATGATGATAAACAGTTGGATTTGCACCTGCTCCCTGACCACATCCTCTTACATATTGTTCCCTGCAGGCATATTAACCATTTAGCAGTGAGTGGGTGTATCTAAGCATACAGTCATGTTGTCAATGGACCAGGGATGAAAAAAAATATTTTACCAGGGCCCTTTGTTCCCTAGGTCCGCCACTGCAGTGAAGAGTCTGTGTGGCTTCACGCAGGCCACACAGCAAAGGTCCCAGAGGAGTGGGGACAGGTAAGTATAAGACTTAGGAGTTGTTAATCTAAATCAAATCAATATTTGGTGTGACTGCCCTTTGGCTTAAAACCAGCATCAATTCTTACACTTGTACAAAGTCAGAGATTTTGTAGGATTAGAGTCAGGTGTATGAATAACCAATTATATGAAGCAGGTGCTAATGATCATCAATTTCATATGTAGGTTTAATCACATTCATTAACTGAAACAGAAATAGCTGTGCAGGAGGCTTACAACTGGGTGAGGAGCAGCCAAACTCTGCTACTAAGGGGAGGTTGTGGAAGACAGTTTTATGTCACAGGTCATACACCATGGCATGAATGAGCATGGCAACAAGACACAAGGTAAGTTATAAGTTATATATCGGCAAGGTAAATCGCAAATATTTCAAAGCTGACTGAGGTTTCAAAATGTGCTGTTCAAGCCCTTTTGAAGAAGCACAAAGAAACAAGCAACATTGAGGACTGTAGACGCAGTGGTCAGCCACGGAAACTTAATGCAACATGTAACACATCATGATTACTTCCCTTCGACATTGGAAGATGCCCAGCATTGCCATCAGCACCGAACTGGCACAAACCAGTGGGACCTAGGTATACCCATCTAATGTCAGGAGAAATCTGGCCAGAAGTGGTCTTCATGGAAGAATTGCAGCCAAAAAGCCTTACCTCTGATGTGGAAACAAGGCTAAGCGACTCAACTATGCATGAAAACATAGAAACGGGTGCAGAAAAATGGCAGCAGGTGCTCTGGACTGAGGAGTCAAAATTTGAAATATTTGGCTGTAGTAGGAGGCAGTTTCTTCACCGGAAGGGCTGGAGAGCGGTACAATAATGAGTATCTGCAGGCAACAGTGAAGCATGGTGGAGGTTCCTTGCAAATCTGGGGCTGCATTTCTGCAAATGGAGTTGGAGATTTGGTCAGGACCGATGGTGTCCTCAATGCTGAGAAATACAAGCAGATACTTATCCATCATGCCATAACATCAGGGAAGCGTGTGATTGGCCCCAAATTTATTCTGCATCAGGACAATGACCCCAAACATACAGCCGATGTCATTAAGAAGTATCTTCACTGTAAAGAAGAACAAGGAGTCCTGGCAGTGATGGTTTGGCCCCCAAAGAGCCCTGATCTCAACATCATCCAATCTGTCTGGGATTATGAAGAAACAGAAGGAGTTGAGGCAGCCTACATCCATAGAAGAACTGTGGTTAGTTCTTCAAGGTGTTTGGAACAAACTACCTGCCGAGTTCCTTCAAAAACTGTGTACAAGTGTACCTAGAAGAATTGATGCTGTTTTGAAGTCAAAGGGTGGTCACACCAAATATTAATTTGATTTAGATTTCTCTTCTGATCATTTACCTTCCATTTTGTTAAGTGATAAAAAATAAACTATTAACACTTATTTCTGAAAGCATTCTTACTTTCCAGCATTTTTTTGCACCTGCCTAAAACTTTTGCACAGTACTATACAGGTGAAACTTGAATAATTAGAATATCGTGCAAAAGTAATTGCAGTAAGTGCTGCAAAAGGGGCCCAAACCAAGTACTGAGTACATATGCATGCTTGTACTTTTCAGAGGTCCGATATTGTTCTATGTACAATCCTTGTTTTATTGATTGCATGTAATAATCTACTTTTTTGAGGTTGTGGATTTGGGGTTCTTGGGGTTTTCATGAGCTGTAAGCCATAATCATCACAATTATGACAAATCACGGCTTGAATTATCTTGCTTTGCATGTAATGAGTCTATCTCATATATTAGTTTCACCTTTTAAGTTGCATTAGTGAAATAAATGAACTTTGCACGATATTCTAATTATTCGAGTTTCACCTGTATATATATATAATTTTTAAATGCTTCTTCACACTCTCCATGTTCAGACAAGCCACGTTTCTGTTAGACCTGTACCCATCAATGTGCTTCATTCAGTTCTGCATTGTGCATTTGCTGTTTTGTCTCTCATTTGCCCATTAGTCTAGTTAACTGAAAGGAAATTGGTACAATATGCCCAACCTGTGGTTGGACAGGGCTCCTTCTGCTGCACATCACTTGGAAGCTACTAAGGAAGTCCTGTGTATACACAAAAAGATTGGTCAAAAACTGAAGTTCATCATACTTTAACATTTTTTTAAAATGAAAGTCTAAATCCGATTGTCATCCGAAGATAAAATAATTGACATGAAATGCCCTAAAACCGGCAGCTTTAGAATTAGCCTAGTACCAAGATGGCATTTTAAATAAGTAAACACAATATACTGCAGCCTCATGACACAATTAAAATGTCTAACAGGTAATGTATTTGTTGTCAGAAAAGCCTGTGTAAGATGTAAGCTGAGTGAAAAATAATACACGTAATATAGCTGTCATGTATTCGCATGAGCCTAGTTAATTCTTAGCAAATCTTTTACTAATCCGGGATAAGTAAAACTGGTGCCTGCATCTTGGGAACATATGAGGGTTTAAGATGCCAGGGTAGAAACATAAATCTCAACCTGCAGAACAGAGTTGTGCTTGAATGTCACAAAATGATGGATAAATGGGCTACAGAAGACTTCCAAGCCATTTATTAGCACTTAAAGTACGGGGAAAAAACAAATCTTGTGTCATTCATACACAAAGCTTTTGTAACGGTTATAAGACTATCTGACAGTACTAATTGGGAAGAACGTCCATTAATATGTATTGTTTTATCACATATTGTGCAGAACAATGAATTCTACTGCACTAAGGAAAACCTGTACTAACAGAAGTGCAGAGGATACAATTGCTGACCTCTTTCTGAAAATGCTAGCTGTCTGGCTGTCTTCTGGTACGTTTAGCATTTTTTTTTCTTACACGAACCCATGAAGCAGGGAGGTGCAGTCAGGGGAGGCAGGTAAGGCAGAGCTTCACCAAGTATAATGGAGGAAAAAGCTGCTTGTGTAACCTAACTTGGTGAGGCAAGAGCTGTTACATCCTCTACTCTGTGTTAGAGACGTGAGCACTGTGGATGGCTTGGACCAATGGCAAAGCGCCATTGGTCCGAGCTGTCCAATAAAAAAAACACTGAGGACATCGATGTCGATGCCTCAGCAGTGACTCACCAGTGACGAGCTAGTGAGGGACAGGGCGGGTCCTCCCTGTCTCCTCCATGTCTCCTCCCTTCCTTCTCCCCACATAGCGTGGCTACCAAGCTTTTGGGTGTGGCTTCGGCTGGATGGGGGCAGAGCTTTGGCAGGACAGGGTAGAGCTTCGGCAGGCTGGGAGATGCCTCACCCAGCACACAAGGCACGGCACGTCACTGCCATGAAGGCAATTACTATAACTATGATTTCAGGTAGAAATCTAGGCTATATAAATAGTGTCTAAATACAAGCGGCAGGTGTACAATATTGTCTACATACAAGAGGCAGGAATCTTGGCATCCTTTGTGCATTTCTTTCAGATCTTTTTAGTAGTTAGGCATGAAACATCTCCAGCACTTTACCACTGCACAGGAGTTTCCTGTAATATAGACCAGTCACTGCTGCTCTCTCCTCTTGTTCAGGGTGACCAGTCTTGTCTCCGCCCTCTCTCCTGTAGTTTCCTGTAGTAAGTGGACGGGCCCCACCCACAGCTCTGCTCTCTGCATCAGTGATGATGCCTTTAGGCATGGAGAAGAGTGCTCATCTACACATAGAAGATATAACAAAAACTTAGGGTAGATACAGTATGTGAGTATAACTTCCGAGGTCCCGAGATTATGCTTTTAGCCTGCAGTTATAGTGAGGTGTATTTGTCCTGTAAAATTAGATTTCAGACATTTTGTAATGGCAAAGGGTATCTTGCATGTCTATGGGATATACTATATTCTTTATTAAAAGCATAAGGCAACTTCAAAACAAAAGTTTACTCCATTAAAATGCAGTTTCGGCCCAAAACACATGATATACAGCTACATAAATATCAAACTCTTCACAGAATTACGGCTTCAAAGAGGAACCCTTGGGCAACAAACAAACTTATCATCACAACAGGAAGCGTCTAACCCTTTTTAATATTAAAGGAAACCTGTCAAGAGAGAATTATGGGGGCTGCAACTGCTGACCTTCTTTTGGAATTGCTAGTTATCATTCTGATGCTTTGGCATTAAGATGTTCTGAATCCCTGACCTAGAACAAGCAGGATAAGGTATCCTGCCTTACTCATATTTTATTTTTTTGGATCTAACTCACAACTACTGAAAGCAGACACAGCCATGCTATTCAGAATGAGGCAAATAAAGTCAGCCTACCATGAGAGATATACTTTTACATTTAAATGATGCCATCACCTTGGTTGTCATGATGATCCCCTAACTGAATTACTCATAAGACACTGGCCCTGCACGGGTATACATCTAACATTGAATTTCTAATTTTGCTCTGCTATATATACGATTGAACGTATGTGGTTATACCTTTTGATAAGTGCATAATAAATACCTGTTAACCCTGCCTGTTAATTCCAGTGAGCTGATAACAATATGTGCTCTCTGTCTCTGCTGACTGTTGTTAGTTAGCTGTGTTATTAGTTATATCTGTGAACTGCAGAATACCTCCCCTTATGGAGATGAAGAGGGGGGGATGCGTTCTGTAGTCTTGTTCTTGAGTGACAAAACTGCTCCCAGGTGGATATAGATAGGTGAGTGTGTGTTGTTACCCTAAGGCCTCATTCATACTGCTTAAAGTCGGCCCGTACAGATCTGTGCGGTGTGCACGGCCGTATCGAGCCGTTCCCCAGAAAGACAGGTGCTGCGTGTGATTGTACGCAGCAGCCTGTTCTTCTCTATGAGAGGACAGAGCTGTACGCTCACCTGAGCTGCACATCCATGCGGGTGCGGGTGTCCATACTCGTACGCAGACAAAATGGACCCTGTCTGCGTCCAAGCACGGACACCCGCACGAATGTGCAGTTCGGGTGAGCGTACGGTGGCGCTAACGGCCGCGTCCTCCCATAAGAAAAACAGGCTGCTGCATGCAATCACACGCAGCACCTGTCCTTCCCGGGAATGGCCTGATTCCCGGGAAGTTTACATGCATATATTTATTACACTTTTAATAAGTGAACAAATACATGTATGGAATTCGAAGAAGCTTAGCATGTTCTCCTTAATACAATTTGTTTGTTTTCCATGGTCATACATTCTTTATTTCATGGGAAAATGCTTTACTGTCCTTGTTTAACTGAAAGAAATGGAATTGTTTAAAAACTAAAATTTATTTCTTTGATTTGTTGTGCAGGACTGACTGGTTTGAAAAGACATGAAAAAGCAGAACACCTACCAATGATGCCATCATATCAAGATGCCAGTGTTACAGCAGTAGTTGAAAACCAGCCAACAATGCAGTCACCAACAGAAGAGCCTCATGAAAAGAAGATAGTAGAACAATATGCTATGACATTAAATAGAAGCCAAGATTTATTGGACCACTGGCTTCCTACAGTTACGGAGCCTCATGCAGGACACCATTCGTTCACTGAAACAACTCCTGCAAATGTCACTGAATTTCCTTTACACATTATCAAAGACTCAAAAGTACCCAAAAGTTGGATTAGTGCAGGTGACAAGCATAAGGAGCCAATTAATGGAGATAGCTCAGAAGTACTGTCAGCTAGAGGACATAAGGCCATAGAGGGAGAAGATGTTGAGGGGTTTTCAGGGGATCTTATAGTAAAAAATGGTAGACATTTATCATTAGAAACTCCCAATCCCATTGATTCAGCCGTAACAACACAAGGTTCTGATCATTTTTTATTCCCAGTAACAAAACTTTCAGACACAGTATGGGGAACTTTTGAAACGGGAGAAAACCTATATACTAATTTCCAAGAACGGCAAGGCAAAGAAAAAACATTTTCAGAGAAGCTAGCATTATCTTTTCAAAAGAATAAAACAGATGAAGCGCATAACTCCACTGACTTGAGGCTGTCAGCAACAAACATTCCTGAAACTATCTTTGGGCACAAGAATTCTGATTTATTAAATGCACTTCCAAAATCAAATGATGACATCTACCACAAAAATGTCAAAGCAGAAGCAATACAGAAAACAACTTTGTCGCCATATCTTACAACTAGCAACCAGAAAGGATCCATTGGGTGGCAACAGGATGTATCTTCACATACTACAGAAGCCCCTGAAACTGTACTTACTGAAACAGAGAACCAAACTACAACTGTTATCCACCATGAAACTGTCACTCAGAATCTAGGCTTTGAGAGTAAAACCATCTCAATACAGAGCATAAAAGATACATTTTATGAAGCCCAGCATGTAACTAGTGAAGGTGGTAGAAAGAACACAACAGCTGATGAAAGCACTGAGTCAGTTCCAGAAAGTGAACACATTTCTGTAACCAACTCATTTACAACAGACTCAATCTTGGCGACAGAAGACAGGGTAACAGTTGCCCATGGAACACCAAGACCTCATTACAATTTTATCTCAAGGTCACCTTTAACATCCATGGACAACCTGAAAAAAGAAATGGCAAATAGGGATATGGGAGCAATCACACCAAGCCCATCTCTCATTTATAGAGCAGACCACCATGATGATATGCAGGGGTTTTCTGATCAATCTTCTTATGAGTCTACTATTGCATCTGACAACACTTTTATCTTTGGGCCTACAGCAGATAGTGAGATGGAAGAAACATTATCTCTGGAGAAGGAAGAAGATCTAGGAAGTGGTAGAGAAGAAGACAGTACGCAGTGGCTTATTGAAGGTCATAGTGCACAAGGTAAATCTTTATGTAGTGTATATTTATTTTTTTATGCATTCTATATATTTTTTTTTTTTTTTAAATGTAGCGTAAAGCAATTTTCAGAGCTTTACCACTGCTTGTCTATTGCCTTGCTGTATAGACAACATTCAAACACATGCATACAAGTAAAAACAGATGTACATTTTGCTAAACTAAGATACTCATGCATTAACATACCATTATACTAATTCAGACCTTAATGGTCAAGTAGATTCCTTTATGTAGGGTACAAAAAAATTAAAGTGGTAAATAAGAGGATATCCCAGTGGTCGGTAAAAATGCTATCAGGAACAGATTTCTAGTAATTGTTGTTTCCATGGCCACTTTATTTGTGCCCCATGCTATGAAAACATTAAAGGGTCATTCACACCAGCAGCTGCACTACAATGCACTGTCTAGGCACACTGCACTGTTTACTTTTTTGGGGGGGGGACTTGAATTCTATGGGCACAGCATGGTGCACCGAAAAAAAAAGTACTGCATGCACACACCACCACAATGCAAGGGAGAAATATATTCCTCTAAGTGTTAAATGTACACATTACATACTTAGCTTGTATGTACCAAACATAAAATAAAAATAAAACATTTTGGAAGCTAGGTCCTTTTTAAATGCTGAAAAGCTAATTGTTTTGAAATTGGCTATGCATAAAGTATTTCATAGAGAATTAGCTGTGAGATAGGGGGAGATGCTGGCTGGATACAGTAAAGGGCCCTAGTAAGTACAGGGAAGTGAAAAAAATGGTGCCTACTAAAGACTGCCATGCAGGAAAATATATCTGGACATAACGTTCTCTAAAAAATAATTTGGCTTCTCTTGTGCATAGTAGAATTCATTAAGAAGATTAAAAATCACACATACAATACAATTGGAACTGAAAACGTAGACTCCCTATTTGCATAAAGAACAGTAAAAGGTAGTTCTGCTTAGTAATATATTTGTACTGCAGCTGCACTTATTTTGTTACAGTCCTCGTGCATCAATCTTTCTGAGACTATAAAGATGACTTGGTAAAGTCATGGAGATTGGTTATATACAATTAAAACAAAAATGAACAAATGTGAACACTAGAAGCCAATTAACTTTCCACTGCGTTGTGCTTCGGTCTTACAGTAAGTTCAGCATTTGGAGGCTAACACTGTATCCATATGTCCAGGTGACACAGTTTCTATAGCAACCATGGTTATTCTGTGTGCTTTCTGCTAGTCAAGAAGGGAGAATATTGCTACAGCACTCTGTTAATAAGGCCCTGTGAGGCAATTCCAAGAATGCCATAAATTTAATGTGTTAAAAAAATGTTTTGGGCTCTCTGTAAATATTCCCACAATAATAGCTTCATTTTTATCCATATAGAGTGTTGCCATTTGTGGTAGTGGCTCTGTCCAAGGTGATGACTTCAGCTACAGCAAGCACTCATAAATGTATCATAGTTATTACTATTTAATGGTTTGTTTTATTATACCATACAGTATTTATAACTGGTGGATATTTATGTCTGTTTTGTTTCAGATAAAGGCTGACAGAGTAAATTCTCTTCTTTATGATTAACAATTGTTTATAATTACATGGAACATGCACTAATGAGCACCAAAATGGAATGCTCAGCACTTTTTCCTAGGTTGGTGCTACCCACTGTGGGGTGTACAAGATCCATTGAAACCAAATTACTTATGGGACTGTAGGCAGCACTCCTTATCAACCATTATTAAACTTTAATAAAATACAGGAACACAATTTGGAGTTCAAATGGCCACGGTCCTTTACTATTGGCAAGTTAACTGAATAAATATTCTACAAATTAAAATGTATTCAAACATTCCTTAGAAAACATTTGAAACTCACATAAATAAATTCAGTCACTGACATTCAGTCAAGATGACTAAGGGGTCTATTCACAAAGCTGCCGAGGGCAGCCGAGTGAATGACCGATCAGAAGTGAAGTGAGCCACAGTCAACCCTACACCCCCCCTCCCCCTTCAAATTCTGAATATCAGAAGGAGAAACCATTAAGAATTACATTTTTCAAAGGATTTTTTTTTTTTAATTCTCTTTCTAATGTAATTTAACATGTTTGAATACAGGACAGTCAAGCAAGAACAAACAGGGAATATTTCTGTAAATACAGTATATTAATAGTGTGAGGTATAGCCAGATTAATTTGGTAAAGATCTTTTAAGGTGAAAGACTGTATCCACAGTTTTTCTTTTACCTATGTCATTACCCCAAGGTGAAGCACTAAAATATAAGAGAGGGTGGGGGTTGACTATACCTGAAGCTGACTGGCAAGCGCATTAAGCAAATAATGTGTTCTCATGGCTTTCTGTCCAAACATGACGTGGTTGGACATATCAGGTGCCAATCCTAAATACTCCTTATAGCTCCTTCTGGAAGCCTGTTTGTTATCTTATCTATTTAACTTGAACAGGTACTATCAGAGAGGGGCCTAAAAGCAGCTGACTGAGCTTGTGCACTTCTCTTTCCTTGGTGACACTTCAGATGATATTCAGACTGACATTTTGGTGGATGGTGTGCATTTGTCTCCTGTACCATGTAACCCTGATGCCAAGGGAGGGGATCCAGCCTGTCCCGCTGGGACACAGGGCAAGGCTCCATTGAAACACTTCTAGGATTGTCCCTCCCCTGGTATACTAAATAGTATATATGGCAATGTGATTTAAAATAAATTTACACTTACTAATGAGTTCATAACTGCATTAATGTGTGTTATTTTGTATCTGTCTGGAGATCTGCTTTAATAAGTGAGTACAAAGCCTCTGCTTACCCATAGCAGTGTGTGCAGACTATAACTATTATACATACTCCATTTCTTCATAAATATGTAAATCCCTCAAATTCCATCAATCTTTTTTTTAAGGTTTTTCTTTTATGAATGTATCCAAAATAGTTTGCATTGTTATCTTGATAGTTTTCACTCCGCCAACATTTCTTTGCTAGTTCCCATTTTTCATTTGTCTTCTTATTTTACTATCCACTTTTCTCTCTAGTCATTTGTCTCTTTCCTATTTTCAGCATCTATTCACTTCTCTTTCACTCCAGAGTCTCATTTATCACTGTCCTTGTCACAAATACTATTTTTTCCCCATTGTCCTCATTTCTTGCTCCTGTCCAAATTCTCCCAGCAACTTTGTTCTCAGAAACAAAAGCAGAACACCAGACAGTAACTCTTTTATTATTTTTCTCACTAAGATATCCCAAAACTTTACAATTTTTGATGCTGAAATATGTGAGTGTCTGGTCTGAACTATGACTGCAGAGATTTTAATGATTTCCCTGATAAACATGTTCTGCACTTGTATATCATTGTAATTGTCTTATTAAAGGCTTTGTAGAAAATATACTACAGAGGACCTGCAAGGGTGTGGTAGCTATTATTTGCAAGGTATTAGATTTTCCTTATATCTCCATTTTCCACACAAAACAAGTGGGAAGCTTTTGAGTTCTAACCTAGCCTACTACATGGTGTCTGGCTTTTTCCTAGTTCCTATACTGCATTCATAATAAAGTGGCAAAATCATTTGCAACATTTGGCAGTCTTCATTCATGTTTGAACACTCATGGTGGCTGTAACATTAAACATAAAGAGAGATGATATTATCACAGATATGTTCATGATTTAATGTTCAGCAGTATGGGCAAATGTTCACAATTTAGAATTTGAATAGGTAACTTGGGTTCTGGACATTTTAGGAGCTAACAAATTAGCTGCTAATGAGTCCCTGACAGGAACCTGACGCATGGGCTGTAAATAAATGTAGAGAACTCTTACCTTGCTGGGAAGTGGGGGGGGGAGGGGGGAGCTATGGGCAAGCCATTAAGGGGGCCTTTAAGACTCTGCTGCTGCTAGACTCCAAACTGTATGCATTGTTTGTCACTATCCAAAAATCAAGGGGAATATGTTTCATTTATCATAAAATGTAAAGTAGAAAGATGAGAGTTTTCTTTCTTCTGATAATACGCATTATAAGTTTTCTGCTAATACAAAATAGTATGTCCTGACCCTAAATAGCAGCCTTGGGACTGGTTTTATGGACCCTTTATTGGCAGCCATGTCATGTTTGGGCACGATCGGAATGATGCGCTGGTGTCAGAAATTCTGATTCCAACCTGGCCATGAGAACCAGCTGGTCCATACAACCTATGGCCACTTCAGCGGCAAGAACTTTCCTCACAGTGGGTAAAGTACCATCTTCAAAGGCTATTAACCAAGGGCGAGAGCCTGCCCTGCATCTAAGCCTTTATAAATTATGTAGCATTAAAAAAACTGTAAAATTTGCCCAGAGCTTTTTCTTAACAAGGCATATTGATGGGATTTTTGGTGTGCTCCAACACTGCATTGTTTATTTCTGTTGTTTCTCACTTTTTATTTCATAGCCAATTGCCAATATTGCTGCATGTCATTTTCTTTCTTACCTTTTTGTAATGTTTACTTTTGTACATATTTCTATGAACTGCTAGCGTAGGGATATTAAATAGGTATAAAAAAGAACTCCTAGAAAGATTGTTGCCTTATATTACTAGCAGCTGTATGCTCAGTTATCAGGAATCTGGGTGTGTATGGTTGACTAGCAAACAAGTCAGCTGAAAAACTCCAAGTGGTGGCAAGTTACCGTAAATTGTTTGTATGGTGTGTATGTGTGTGTGTGTGTGTGTGTGTGTGTGTGTGTTGTGTGTGTGTCTGTGTATCTGTGTGTGCAGTGGGAAAGTTGAAAGTGCTCCAGGATTCCAGCTAACCGGATAGCTTGGGAATCTCAGCAACATGTGGGAATCATCTAGCTGCTACACACCCTGAGAGTACATCAGATTGTATTCGACATTGTATCTGACCATGTGTGTCTGGCAAGCTAGATTTTGACGACTCTTCCTGTAGTGGTGGCTGCTGGCATTGCAGGCTGTGATAACAGTTTCACAACCATGTTTTACCTTTTCTATGACAAACTCTGTTCACAGTCTTACTCCACTAAACAAGGCTCTCAATCTGGTTAACAAATCGCTGTGGGCATGATTCCTTGACAGCTGTACATGACAATATTCTTGAAGTTATTATTAGCTTTCGATTGCAAAGACAATGAAGCAGAGCAACCACCCAGCAGAGGTTTTGATAATCTTACCTATTTTTCTTTTGTTTTTGCGATTTAAACCAAGTTGAAAGTGGTTACAGCTGCCTGAAAGTTGCCATGTATAAGACCAGCATTACAGTGACAGGTGTATTGATAGCACCCTGTTATTATCCATAGGTTCTGATACATTATCATTATTATACCTTTATATTTGAACAACATCAATATTTGCAACATGCAGATTGTTACAATATACCTAACGCCTAAGTCATTGCTTCAATCAGACTACAGTAGGGAGTGGTTAAAATTCTTATTAGGATTTTTCTTGTCATCTGTGTTCCATTGTGAAGTGAGGGAAAACTCCTCCTAGATACTTGTTATTGGAACTGGGGTCCCTATTGGAAAATGTCCCCTATATTTATTTTCTGCTGATAACCTAATATTTTTAATTCTCCCCCACTTACGTTTACATTGATCACCAGGACAAATAGAGAGAGAGAGAATGTCCCTAGTGGAGACACAGGTGGTGATAAATGTGGTTTTAACCTTTCCACACTACATCCAAAACAGTAGCATTTTTTTACAAAGTTACTAATTACATTACCCAGTAATTGAGAAGAACCAAGTAGACTTAAGTTTGTACTGTAAGGTTTGTAAGGTATGTTTACTTGTTTCAATTTAAAAAAAAAACTAGTTTTACAACATGTACATTATTACATTATTATGCATCTGTTATATATAATATCTATATTGATAGATAGATATATATAGGGATATATATATATATATATTATAAACTGCTTTTTGTGTGGAAGGAGCAACTTTATCCAGTGTTGTTTGACTAGCTTTAGTGTCCTCTAGGTGTAGTTATTGATTGGCTTTCAATTTTATTTTACCCCTCATCCTATGTATTTTGAGGCTTTTTTAGTGATTGTATATTGTCAGTGACCATTTGTTTCCTTTTCTTTTAGGGGAACCTCAGCCTTGTGTCCACAGCCCTTGCTTGCATATGGGGACCTGTCAGTCTAATGGAAGCACATACAGCTGCATCTGCCACAAAGGCTATACAGGAGAAAACTGTGAAATTGGTACATACCAAGCATTAATATTAAACATAAAGCTGACCTAGACTGTGCAACTAATATGTGACAGCCTTTCAAATAATTATTATAAAATAAAGTGTTTGGGGGCTTGCTCAGTGCAGCTGTTAAAGGCTAATGTGTTAAGCACATAAGAGTAACCCATAGCAGATTATCACATTTTATTTTATCAGAGTTAGAGCAGTGATAGATAAATCCATATTAGCTGGAATAAATTACTGATTTAAGCTTCATCATGTCATTTTAATATATATATCCTTTTTCGTGAATGGATGGGCTAAGTAAAGGACTTAAGATATGTGCAGAAAATGCTGCACTGTACACACATATGGGTAGTCAAACAAAGGCAGACATACACACATTTCTTCTACGAGCTCATTTTAATAGCCACATATTTTGTCTCAACAGATATTGATGAATGTTTATCTAACCCCTGCCAGAACGGAGGAACGTGCATTGATGAAATAGACTCATTCCTGTGTTTGTGTTTACCAAGCTACGGCGGAAGCACATGTGGCAAAGGTGAGTCAGTAGCAAGGAGAATTTCAGATTTTTAATAAACAAGACACCTAATGGCACATCAGAGCTTCTATATTGCTTAACCAACTCAAAATAGATCGTCAATTCTATATACTGTGTACAGATAAATTCTGGGCACACTGCTCTGCTAAACAAATATATTCCGTCCTTTAAGTTAAAGTAGCTATACTCAGTCCATTAAAATCACAAGGGATTTAAAGTGATATTAAAGGTTTTTAAGCTATTTCAAATGCTGATAAAATCACTTACAATTGATGCCGCTTCTTGAACTTTCTAAAGTTTTTGTTTCCTGCATAATCAGCTGGTCCCCTAAGCACTGGCCCTGATATCCTGTTTTAGGATGGGTAATTTCCATTGAAGACGCAGAGAAGGAGTTTAAGTATGACCAGAGAAGAGCGTGCACACAACAGCTGGAGCAAGAAGAGACAAAGAGGGCTTAGATGGCAAATTGGAGAGGACAACACAGAGAGCATAGGGATGCAGAAGAGACAGAGAGGAAGCACAGATGATGTTGAAGTGAACAGTACAGCTAAACACAGAGAGGAAGTGCAAACAGAAAAAAAAACTAAAAGCAAAGCTAAAGAACTGATGGGCACACATGGGGAGAATTACAAATTAGGCACAAGTTTGCAGTTAACAACAGGAAGCAAAAGAACCAAATGATTAGCATCTATTGAGAAGTCAGTCCAGATTAGGATGCAATGGGTAATAAGCTACACAGAGCATCTAATGAGCACAAACCTCGAGGATCATAGTGAATGATCTAAATCCACAGGCAAGTTTTTTAGCCTGTTAGGGACTTAGGTATATTTTTGTCCAAAATGAAAATGTCCATTAACATTAAAAAAGAGAAAAACCAATGAAAAATATACTGAATGCAAACCATAGGAAACTTGTTTCGGGGGGATTAATACTGTAAGCAGTGGAACGCAGTAGAACATGAAAGAATAAGATAAAGAGACTAAATAGAAGATGATGTAAAAGGGAGAGGGAGATTAGAAAGCTGTCTCAGTCAAACAAAATAGACTGCCTAACTTGATAATTTATGAGTGTGCCACTTTCAAATCGATACTCCTGCAGAGGGAGAAAGGAGGTGAATATAAATGGGGGCTACCACCACACACTGCAAGAGTTAACTGCTTGTTTTCGTCTAGGGAAAAAAAATATAAAAAGTTATACTCATCTGAACCTCGGAGTCGGCTGGCTGCTACTCCTCCTCCACTTGGCATCCTCAGCGATGGAATATCCCTCAGTGTCCTCACGTCTGTTACACTTTATAGAACATGACTCACAGGACCTTAGACCACCACAGTGGAGGGAGAGCGAAGCTCAAGGGAGCGGTCTATACTTTTTTATTTTACACCCTAGACAAAAACTAGCACTTATCCCTTGCAGTGCAAGGGTAGCCCCACTGCTAGGGTTAAGTTCATCTTAGTGGCCAAGTACAGTAACACTTTGCCTATTATAAGATGCAGTCTTGTCTATTTGGGGTTGAGGTTTCATTTTTCTGTCCATTCAGATTATTTGACTGCTGATTGCATTGCAGCATGTCATTAAATCCTGACTTGTCCTGAATTTGTGATCTGAACCTGGTTTACCTTCAGCTTTTTGTGTGATTCATATTTGTACAATCACCATTTACAACTTTTTGTAACTCAACCAAATAAAAGAATCCCATGCTTACCCCGCCCTACTCTCACCGCAAGTGCAGATCCATACGGGTCCGGCTCGGACACCCGCACCCGTGCGGACCCCCGCAATGGACACCCGTGCATGCAGCACAGAGCTGTACGTGCCGGCCTTTTCTAGTGTGAATAAGGCCAAAAGGTGAGAACGGTGGCTATTATACCTAAGACAGAACCTTGTGGTGTAAAACTATCTATGCTATAACTATAAACTAGCTATCTATCTTACTTTAATAAGTAACATGATAAAAGCAAATGTGCATACTAAGAAGGAAACTTTTGCATTGCCAACGGCTTTCTATTAATAAACTCATACTGTCACAAAATAACTGACAATTAGCTATACTAGTATTGAAGGTTGATGTGTAAATCTGAAACCTCTGTGCATTACATTCCTCCTGCTACAGTTTTCCAAGTGTATTTCCATTTTGTGTTTAGAGGATGTCATGTTTCAGTCTTTCTCAAATTCTCTACTGTCTCACTACTCTTCACTTTTTTGGCATTTACGTACTTTGGAAACTAGCACAGCTTTTCCTCAATCATGCAAATTTTTTTCTTCAAGGAAAATCTGTTATAGGAGAAAAGCTTGTGCTGCCGTTCCGACCCCCTTTAAAAATGCTATATGCTTGGCTGACCTGCAAAAAGACTGACCTAATAAAAGGTGCAGATGGGGAGACTGGAAATTCCAGCCTATGAATTTGTTACGGATTGATTTACTAAATTGTGAGTCAAGAAACTAACATTTGACTCTGGGATTTAAGTGGCAATGCAAGATGTATGCAGGCCTTAGGCCTTTAGGCGCCCTGTGCGAGAAAGCTTTACAGTGCCCCTCAGTGACCACACCCCTCAGTAACTGCACCCCTCAGTGGCCACATCCATTTATCCAATACCTGCACCATTTACAGCCCCCTATTTTAATAAGCCCCAAAGAAACAGATTAAAAAGTATGATAAAAATAAAACTTTTATTCAAAGGTTTTAAACTTGGCCACGCACAGAGCCGCTTGGCCATCCTGGATTTGACAGCTGGCAGCTCTGCAATCTTCTCCCCGCTTGTCCATCCCGATGACAGTGCTCCCTCCTCTGCCAGCTTCAGCACTCCATTGCTCATTTGAACCCCGCTGCCTTTGCCCATACAGGCAGGGGAGAGCAGCGGAGATCCACAGAGAAGCTGCAGGCTGTGCAGCCCCTCTACTCCCTGCTGCCCCGAGGCCATGGACTAGGTGGCCTTGTGGGGAGTCTGGGAATCCTTGTTGGGAATCCGGCCCTGCCTGCAGCTTGTGTCATCCAGCCGCACAGCTTGTACACCCCAAAGTCCGGCCCTGAAGGTATGCATAGTAAAATCATTGCTGGATAGAGATCTGCCAGCATACTACACACATTTGTTGGAACCAAGTGCTTACTATCATCTCACTTTTTTAACCAATACGGTAGCTAGGATTCCACTATTTACATGTTAGCATTGTTGGTGAAAATTTGGTAGCACGTATGATTTTCCTGACAAATATATTTAACAATAGGTTTGCCTTCTACACTTTTTTCTGCAGCTCAAAGACCAGATTGCTGCAGTGGTAGAGTTCGGCATTTTTAATGTTCAATAGTACAGAAAAAAGGAAGGGGTGTGAAATAATGGACCACTGTGCTTCTGATCCAAATTGCACGTTTAATGCATTTTCCAATGTGTAACGATTGTACATTTTCACGTGTGGACATTGTCATCAATAGGCCCTATAATGTGCATTTCAATGCACAGATGTGTATTTTAAAACCATTGCAAACTTGTGTGCAGGGGTGTCCCTAGACTATTAGCCACCTGAGGTGGGTGGGAGGGGGGTGGATGGTGCACATGATCAGTGGGGGGTCGGAGTGCATGTGGAGAGTAGGACACTAACAGCCAGGCGAGGAGATGTGTAAGAACTCTGTGGCGCTGTGGCCAGCGTCCCACCGAGCTCCTTGCAACCAGTGATGTGACCTGTTGCCAGGAGCTCGACCGGATGCCGGCAATAGTGTCCCAGGTTGCTAAGAGCTGGGCGGGGAGATGCAGAGCCCTTACACATCTTCCTGCTCGGCTCTTAGTTACCTGGGACACTCTGGCCAGAAAGGGAGCGGCAGGCACAGTGCAAACATAGCCTGCTGCCCCCCACATGATCCAAAGTGATGGCATGCAGGCTGCTTCATTAAGGTATGGCCTTGCTTGTGTGCATGCTTTGTAAGCTTTCTGAAGAAAATCATCCAGGCTTTAATTGCTGCTTCAAATGCTAGTTGGCTGACTTTGTAATTCCACAACTGCTACATGTAGGGTTGCCACCTTTTTTTCCATCGAAACCCGAACACTCTAGCGACACACGGAAATTTTCTTGGAAGAATGATTTGCGGCTTTTTCATATGTAAATAGTGCCACCCCTTCATATGTAAATATCACAGTTGAGACTATTTTCAGTGGGGGGCCAGAAGCCCCTATCTTAATTTTGGTTTCGCCTGTGTGCCTGACATCTTGGGGGTGATTTACTAACCTAAACACACACACACACCAGGTGTGTGTGATTTTCACACAGCAAAACGTATTTATCAACCAAAAAGTCTCTATAAGCATATTTCCACTAATGCCATATATGGAAAAATCATGCACATGATGCATATATAATGCTGCTTCACAGTTTAGACAAAAATGGTTAGCTCATGCATTTACATTCCTGCATTCATCAACGCAAGCAACATAACATAGAGCTAATTTACACCACATTACCTTGCAATTCATTGCAGGGCTTTGCACAACACACCTGCTGGGTGTGTACACACTACAAAGGTGTTTCGATTCCTCCCATAGATCATGCTGGGAGGGAACACACTACAGAGGTGTATACACGTTCGTGGTGTGTTTAAAAGGTTAGTAAATCAACCCCCTTGGGGGTGATTTACTAACCTAAACACACACACACACCAGGTGTGTGTGATTTTCACACAGCAAAACGTATTTATCAACCAAAAAGTCTCTATAAGCATATTTCCACTAATGCCATATATGGAAAAATCATGCACATGATGCATATATAATGCTGCTTCACAGTTTAGACAAAAATGGTTAGCTCATGCATTTACATTCCTGCATTCATCAACGCAAGCAACATAACATAGAGCTAATTTACACCACATTACCTTGCAATTCATTGCAGGGCTTTGCACAACACACCTGCTGGGTGTGTACACACTACAAAGGTGTTTCGATTCCTCCCATAGATCATGCTGGGAGGGAACACACTACAGAGGTGTATACACGTTCGTGGTGTGTTTAAAAGGTTAGTAAATCAACCCCCTTGTGTCCGGGTTTCTGCTGCCATGAAACCCGAACACAGCATTCAAAACCCGAACTGTCCGGTTGAATCCTGGACAGGTGGCAACCCTAGCTACATGCCTGGCTGTCATGCTGACTGTCTAGCCTCAATATTTGAGGTACTAACCAAGAACATGCATGCAAATATGGACATCTGACTGGTCGGCATAATAGCCAGGCTATCAGCATTTTCAGAAAGGCAACCTAAAACATCCACTAGTATAGTAACTCATAATATTACAAGATTGAGGATATTGTTTTAATGAAAAAAATCATCTAGTGCTTTGATATTAATATATTGTCAAGTATTTATTTCGAGTGACTCTGATCAGCAAGGCGAATAAACATTTAGCTCTCTTTTTAAGGTCAGAGGACACTTGCCCATCCTTTGTGCCCTTTAATCTATTGCAAAAATCATACAGATCTGCAGGTTTAAAACGATTGAATTGAGCTGTGCAGTTGCTTTTTAGCAACTTAGTACAGTCAGCAGTGATTCGGATGTTGTGCATAATCAGCTCCCTACAGTAAAACTTCACTCGTGTCAGCATTTAGGCCAAGTGTCTGTGTCCTTCCCTCCCCTTATGATGTGACCCGCGTGATCTGCACTTGGAACTGGACAGCTGTGCTGAGAATTATACGGTTACCCATAATGTGGGAGGCCTGCAAGAGTGTACCCTTAATTGGCAGATAGAGAGATACTGATTATGTGCATTTATTGTGAAAACATAACCTAACAGATATACATAGATATCGACTCAATAATCCCCATTATTTTTCAACTCACGTGTTTTTGGTATCACTCTTTGGAACATAAATGTAAACTGCTCCTTATTTGATCATACCATGCTTTATTTGAATTAGCATAGTTAAAGGGTATCTGTGGTCAAAAACTAAAAATAAATCTGTATTTCTACTTTCTATTTCAACTGCAAATGTTCTTGAAGCTAAACTGCAGGAAAAATGTTTGGGGACCAGGAGAAGTCATATAATGTACCCCTAACGATCAGTTTCTAATGGTCAGATAGCTGCTGGCTACTGTATTAATCCTATTTTCATTAATGCCAGATATTACTCAAAGCATTTATTTCTGGTAATGCAAGTGAGAGTTCTGGCTCTTATACAGTGTGAACATTATGTCATATAGCTGCACCCTATTCTCTCCCCATTCAGTCACAAAAAGACCTGAATTATTTTCAGGGAATCCAAGGCATTCCGGACAAGAGGAGATCCTGTTCTTTATCCGCTCCTTCTCTTCCCCTAATCGTTTATAGGTCACCTTGCATTCTATGAAAAGAATACAAGGCTTTTTGTGAATGGACAATGAACAGCACAATGCTAACGTCACAGCTCCTTTTACATGGATATATCTATTTTGCAAAGGCATTTGATGCACACAAAGTGGATTTATATATTTGTTGTGGCTATTGAGGAACATAATTAAATAAGAATTATTTTGCTCAGAGTCTAGCTTTAATGGTTCAAACATATTTTGCTTAAAGTCAAAATCCATATTGGTTAATGCTGAAGTGCTGTTTATTTCTTATTTCTTTTAGATACAGAAGGCTGCGATCATAGCTGGCACAAATTTCAAGGATCTTGTTACAGATACTTTCCCCAGCGGAGGCCGTGGGAGGAAGCAGAAAGAGACTGCCGGAGGAGATCTGGCCACCTCACCAGTATCCACTCTCCTGAGGAACAAGCTTTTATCAAGAGTAAGCCTGTCCATATACACTCATCCACTTACTGTACTTTGTACATTGCTACTTCTACTGTTAGTGAATATGAATGTAAACCTCACAGAAGAATATATATTTAACACATTAAGTATGAGCAGATTATATATACCGCATAGACTTAAAAATGTATAACGCTGTATGCTCATTACAAAAAGCCAAAAATGATTAACTGTCAACAGTTGCTGTTCATCATCATAGTTGCCTATCTCTGTGACTGTAAGATCCTGACTGAAATAGTAACCTCTAAAATTGAGCACTGGTGCATAGCACCTTCTGCTAGGAGACTGTCTGGCTAGAGGAATATGTACTTTTGATGCAAATTTGAAGTTATATAGCTTGTTGGGCTAACTTAGTTGGTGTAGGTCATGTAAGTGGTCGATATTTCTTTTACAAAACTTTATTACAAGTTTTAAGTGCATTTTAACCTCTTGCCGTCCGCCCGTAGTAAAAAAACGGACGGACGGCACTGCAGCATCTGCGGGTTGCCGTCTCCAGACGGCAATAGTACTTACAGTGTGATTATTTGAATATGTATATAATCCAGTCAGCCCTGCCCTGGGAACCTACAACCAGCTTTCATAGTTGTCAGCTATGCCTGCCGCATAAATCTTACTGTGGGACCATCACTTTGATAGTTTTTCTTTCACAGTGATAACAAATAGTAAACTTTAGCAGAGCTGGTGACCACAGCTGGTATTTGCATATCATAGCACTCCAGTGTTCAAAGCTCATTGGGAGTGCTCTCCGCAGAAAATCTTAGGTGCCTTCTGGAGGTGCCTTCTCTACATAGAGGGTGGTGGATTTTTCTCTCTGTCTCTCTCTCTGTCTCTCTCTGTCTCTCTCTCCTTTTTAATACATTTACTTATTGTATATGTACTCTTTACTCACTACATTATATAAACTATATTGGCATCCAGAAAGTGAATGCTACAGGACTAGGACTACGCTATGGAATCTCACTTTTCTAGATGTTCTTTCCTTTTTAAAAAAAAAATGTTCAATGGCAGCACTCTCAGAACATAAATAAATGCCATTGATGCTCAGAGACTGGCCTGCAACCCCACCATCTCTTAGGAATTGTTAAATGTCTTGATGTGTTTCATGCTGTTAAGCTTAGTCAGAATGCTATTATGACTAAGTGCAACATCGCAAAATGCATCAAGGCATTTCATGTCTGTATGTGGTTTTTGAAATAAAGCCTCCCAGTGTTCTACTTCTTATGTGGACTCTTTTTTTTTTTGGCATGGCGACACTGTTGTGTGGTCCCCCGAAGAAGGTCCCTGGCATCTTAATACTAAGGGTCTCTTCTCAATTTATAGTATGCAAGAAGGACCATGTTAGCAAGCTGATGTGACAATGAGCAGGAAAGACTATTCCTAAACCCACTCATGCTCAGTTAGTGTAATGTGGGTCCTGGAGCTGTATGTGATTAGCAACTAAGATTTTTTTTCATTACTTCATGTATTGGTTACCTACATACTTTGTGATGGATGTACACATATTTCATAACTGCTCAGGCAAATTATTAACTGTTTGCCAGTCATAGCAAGCACCTGAATATGGTAACATCTTCCTCCCTCCTCCCTCTCTGCCCAAGGCAACCATAAACCCTGAAAGGGTTTTGATTAGTTACAGTGCCAGTGCTATTAACATTAATAGCGCTTATGCTGTCAGCCAGACAGCATAATATCCTTGTTACCAGTTCATGGTCTACATTCCCTCTCTTTATTATCAGTGAAAACATGAAATGTAATGCTGCCATGTGCCAGGTAGATAAATTTTAATGCAGCTTGATTTCATGATCACAACGGTAATTACACTTCAACTGGAAATTGGGAAGTAGTATTTTTAAACAAAATTTACTGTACAAATAAAATTCATTAACACAAGGTTAAACTGCATTATTGTATGCCTTATCCAATCCTGTTAATAAATATAATATAAGTAAATAAAATATTTACATTCCATAATAAAGCACTCTATCTATATGAACTCTGTGCAGATGTAGCAAAAATAACATGGAATTTGTGTAATTGCTTTGCTTCAAAGCTTCAGTATAGATGCTTTGTTTTAGATCATGCTGTTTCTTTTCATGTCTTTCACAAAACAAAATACTTATGTGAAAAGCATAGGATAGAAGCTGCTGTGGTCTGACTCCCAAGTCACATACAATTTCTGGGTTACAGAGCAGTATTACATTTTTATTTTGGGTTGTTTTTTTGGAACCCCTGCACATATACAGGTACATTCGACAAGAGAGTTTAAGGTGGAGGGCTTACAGGGGATTTTAGAGAGGAGTCGCAAAGGCTCTCTTTTGCTCATACTAACAAAAAAAGTGTTTTGCTCTTTCTCTGTAAAGTCTTGAATAAAGTTTCCCTGTAGCGAGAGAAATATGGAAGCTGCTATTGCTGTTCTTCCCTACTGAACATGCCAGTTCTGTGGCTGTCATACTGATCCAGTGGCTTCTAAGCTTTCTGAGTTACTGATCTGAAAGTGTGCAGATTAAGGTTTCTGATTTTGGTGAAAATTTAAGTGCTGCATGCATGACAGGAAGCACTGAACATGGAGACAGGTAAATAGACTTTTCAGCCTATATTTATCTTTAATGTTCTGGACTGATGACAGACCCTTTTAGGTGCCCTCTAACTTCTGTCTCCAGTGAATTACTCATGTTGTCAAATAATGTTACTGCTATACTTTTTGCACACTTGCAGACTGGCTTACTATGACTGTTGTTAATTTATTAATGTAGCACTACATTAACATCACTCAATAAATAAATATATATATATATATATAGTGCAATATAAATGGGTAAGCCGTATTAGTCCAGTAGACAAGATGTCAAAAAAGACAAAAACGCAGTATTGCAGTGTGCAATGATACCTTTCTTATTGGACTAACAAAATATATAAAAGACAAGCTTTCGAGAGTGAACCTCTCTTAATATATATATATTCTGATATGTATACATCAGAACAGCTAGAGTGCTAGGGAAGAAGATATTATTAAAGAATTTGAAGAATAAAGTATTAAATATGAGTTAATAAGCAGGAGAGAATGTGAGTACAAAAAGATGTCATCTATAAATATGTCAGAGGAGAGGATGGAGACTTGGCAGATGAGTATGGAATATGATAGGTGAAGAGATGTGTTTTCAGGCAGAATTTGAAGTATTCAGTATTAGGCAGTCTGACAAAGTATGGCTCAGCATGTAAAAAGAAATTGAATTGGAAAATTGGAGGTGGTAACAAGAGGGTGGGTAAGGGGGGCTGATAGGAGTAGACCATTTACAGTTTTAGAGCATGCTATGAGTAAATGAGGATAAAGCATAAACTATATGGAGATGCAACAATACTGAAAGTTTTTGTGAGTGCATTTTAGAAACCTGAATGGAATTTGAAATAACGTGCAGCCAATGTATAATGGTGTAAAAAATAAAGTAACTGGTAATGAAGATAAATCCAATAGATACATGTGTTACTGACTGAAGTGGTACCCACTTATTGAGTAGTAAACCAGTTGGTAAAAAACTACAATAGAAACCAGCTGCTTGCGCCAAACTTCTATAGGCAGCTTCTGCTCCTACACCCATGTGACCAGCCCCCACAACAACATATTTTCCTTGGGTTGAATAAGCTTTTAGTAAGTAGAGGGTCACACCATCAACATAATGGAACTGGGAACTGTAGAAGTTAGGTTACTAGACAGCAAGAACAAATTCTGCAAAGGTCTTCAATATCTCTGCCCTGCATGTATTCAGCATAGGCACAGAGGATGTTATGTTCAGAACAAGGTATAGGTTCAGAACAATGTTTCCCCTATATGTAGAAATTATTATTATGCCATAACAATAAAAGATCATTATACTGTATAAGTTAATACAGTAAAGCACTCTTAAAACAGAAGTTATTCACTCATTCAATCATATACGGTATACCAAACATTAGAAGATTATTTCTCATCTCAAGACTGCACCAGGTTCGTATACATGCTTCTGTAATATTAGGCTGCATTATTTGCACTATATACCAGCTCTTCAGGATTTGCATCTGGCCGATAGGGTGTAATGAAGTAACTTACATGGCTCTACCCACTGTCTTGAAAAAAATGAAATAATCCACTTATTTTTGATATAGGTAATGGAATGAGACATGTTATACCCTCTGTTTTAAGAAGAAGGCTTTACTGATTTGGTTGAAGGGTTTTTTAATTGCTTTAGCCCCTCCTCACCATAACCTGTATGGATATATTATAAGTTAAAAATGCATGCTTACTACTCCACAGTGGTTCATCAATGTTTCTCTTGCAGCCCAAGTTTTCACCATGCTTATTTCTATGCCATCATCTTGCTTGGCTTTCATGGGCTGTATTCCCCTGCACTATGGTCCTGATTGCTACTCTGCCCATAGCCCAGCCCATACTTCAACCTTCTGCCTCTAAAAATGTATTTGCCTGAATACCTCCTGACCTGTTTTGATCTGTGGAGGAGCAATGATTACCTGTTGCAATGGGGCCATCCTGAGGGCCACAACTTATTTTCCCATTCCCATAAGCATAAGATGACAGTCTACTGATCGTGTCATTTTCAACTGCCAAATTGCTATGGCTTTACCTAAAATAAGGCATTTTCCCTGATTGTCCATGCATGTTCCCCCATCCTTCCCCACTGATGGAAATGCAAATAATTTCCCTTTAAAATAGAAGCTGTCCCACAAAGATATTATGAAGTGGTTTGATCCATTGATGTGTGCGTGTGTGTGTGTACAACTTTAGAAGACCACATTTAACCATTCAGATAAAGAGCTATTGCACATACCTGTGAGAATTTTAACCCAGAAATTATCACTGCATAAATAAAGATATTATTGATTTCATTAGTGATGTAGGTGTGAATGTGCACAATCATTGTTCCTCCACAGAGCAACAATATAAGTACCTCACTCAGATAGCCCAGTATGAATCATTGCTCAGCTATTCAGTAAAAACATGACTATTGGTATTTACTTTACAATATATATTACATGTACACAATGCAAATAAAAATTCTGTGATATTTATTACAGCAGTAAAAATATTTTTAGAGGCTTCACACCTACTTGTGAGTTCAGACCACAAATTAAATATCTGAGGTTTGGGAGATTGCAATGGCCAGTAGATACCATTGATTTTATGTTCCTTTAAGTGTATTTTGTAGATCTCAGTCCTCATTTATTTTTATTGCAATTGTAACAAGAACTAGAAGGCACACTGTAAAAAACACTGTACAAAACAACCCCAAAGAAAAATAGATCTGCATTGATATTTCAGAATGGACTTAATGTTCCTCGCAGCCTTTGCTTTGCTGGAAGAAATAAACATAGGTCACATTTATGGAGCCATTTTTTCACCTTGCTATAAGAAAAAATAAAATGTATAAAAAAAAATTGAGAATCTGGTCACAAAATAGACTTAGAATATGAGTTATGACATTAAAATATTTATCTTCTAGCTCTCACGTGGCCACATCCCTGACAGTTTGATATATTTTGCCATTCCAGTTAATACTTACTGGTGTGAATTTTTTTATTATTATTTCATAGGTTATTAATCAAGGTATCAGTCTCAGCACCTGCACTTGAATCTTGTAGAGAATCAGACTCATATCATATGGAGAATAATTTTCATGTAAAATTACAGGAACAATTTCCTTTTTAATTATTTTAATTTGACTGGTTAAACCAATGCTTTATCATTATGTATTCAATATTTAAAACTAAACTCCAGGCAAACACACAGTTTAAATACACCAATGTGAGATTAACTTAATAAAGTTTGGGCTATCCAACATGACATCTCATGTTTTTATGTAAAAATGATGTATACTTGACCAAAGGGCCAATTGAAGACACATGGGGGATGTGATATGCTTTTTGTGTTGCTTTGTTTCTCTAAATGGCCGAAATGGTATCTCATTATTTTAAATAACTTGGTCTTCTTTTCTTGCTGTAAGGTTTTGGTCGTGAGAACACCTGGATTGGTCTCAATGACAGAACAGTAGAACAGGACTTCCAATGGACAGATAATACAGCACTGGTGAGTAAACTGGGGAAATTGGCGGAGCAGTGCCTTAAATGGCAAACCTGTTATATATTGAACTAGCTCTCTTCATTAACAGGGCAATGTGCACAATGCTAAGTGCAAAGACTGGAAACCCAGAACAATCAATCTGTGTTCACTTCTTATTTATTGTGAGTTCCCGCACCCCAATTCATACCAGACCTTTTTGGTCTGGTAGAAATTTTAGGGGAGACGGCCAATGCCCAAAAAAACAGGGGGCAAACAACTAACCCTTACCCATTCACAAGGGGGGGCAGCATATTTATGAAAGGGGGCACCCAGATTCCTATAAGCCTCTCTGCCCACAGACCTCAACAACCACCGATCCATGTCATCGACATGGGGACAAGGAGCTTGGGAACCCCCTGTCAAAGCACCCTCCCCATGTTGAGGGCATTTGGCCTGGTATGGTGCAGAAGGTGGGCTGCACGCTAGTCCCCCCCTTTTCCTACTCTGCCAGTGGGATAATTTTTTTTAAATTTGGATACGTTCAGATTTGTTATCTCTTGCATTAGGATGCATCCATCCATAAAAATGTTTGTGTATGAACTATAAAGCAATTTCTGTGTTTCCTGTATATGGCACTAAACCTTTTCCAGAAGTTATCTTAATACCCTTTATTAGATCACTCAACTACTCATTTTTGCTTTAATCGTTAAAGATAAACTCAATACAAACAGCTAAATACTCATTTAAAAACACATTGGAGCTGTTTTTCTTGTCGAAAGATTTGAAACTTTGTCTAGTCCTGAGTTTTACATGGCCCTACTAGCCAACAGAGCCAAGTTACTAACCTGTTTTTCTTTGCTAGAGTTAAGTAATACAGTTTGGTCACTTCTCATTCCACAGCCTGTGACTGGACAGAAAAGGAGCAGCAGCATATTGATGAGTTATCCTTCTGCTCACTCCTCCAGTCATCATGTTCCTTTTTAGAATGTGTGCATGCAGCACACCTGATTAAATCCTGATATCAAGACAGAATTAAATGCTTACACTAGCTGTATTAAAAAATAGATTTAATGATGTTAATGGTGTTTAAATTTATAACTGCATTGTTTAGTGAATTTTTACATCTGCCTGAAGTTCAGAAACATTTGCAACAATGATGGTCAACTCAGTACTAAGATCTATATCTGGCACCCTCAGAAATTAGTAGATAAATGCCCTCACATGTTAGAATGCCGATAGGCTGCAGGATGCCATATAAAAACGAAAGATACCCAAAAGATTTAAATGACTGTTGTATGATAATCTTGGTTCTAATGTCTATGCCAAGGTAAACTATAAATTGGAAAATTCCCAGGTTCTGAAATAAAGAGTAACCTTTGATACAACATTGATACTTTACTGTATGTACACGTTTTATTGGGTACTTGAGATCATTTGACATATACCAGGAGGTTCTTTTTTAATAACTGCTATGACAAGAGGATACATAAATAAAGAAGACATGCAACTTATCATTTTCCTATCTGTCACAGCAATATGAGAGCTGGCGTGATCAGCAGCCAGATAACTTTTTTTCTGGTGGAGAAGACTGTGTAGTTATGGTTTCACATGAAGAGGGCAAGTGGAATGACGTACCATGCAACTACAACTTACCTTACATCTGCAAGAAAGGAACTGGTATGTGTTGTCAAAAATTAACAATAAAACCTCAGAATTCACTATGATTCATAAATAAATAAATATAAGTCTGCTTTAACAGAAGCAAATATACATGTGCCAATGTCTGCTTTAGGACTGTTCTAAAGCTTTGCTAATTATTAAATTAAGTCTGTCAATGTGAAAATTAGTGCATTGCTGAGATGAGATTTGTTTCCCATAGTCCTTTGTGGCTCACCACCTGCTGTGAGAAATGCTCTCATTATTGGCAAGAAAAAAGAAAAATATAGCATCCATTCTACAATACGTTACCAGTGCCAGGATGGTTTTATACAACGTCACATTCCAACCATCAGATGTCACCGGAACGGAAGATGGGACAGGCCTCGTATCCTATGCGTAAAACGTAAGTGAATTCAAAATATTTTACCACCACAAAAGAAAACACATGTGCCAAAATGCCTGAGTATAATTAAAGATCTAAGTCAGAAGTGTGCAACATATACGTGTTGGACCTCAAATGGACCGTTCCTTCAGTAGATTTATGGGGTAAAACCTTAATTTAATTCCAACATGAACAAGGGTTCAGTTACTAAAGGAATATACAGTATTGTCACTGAAACAGAAAGTAACAGAAATTTGAAATGGTAGCGTTGTCTGCAAAACAAGGGGTTAAGGGAAAATCTTCCAAGAGGGACACCTGTCTTACAGGGGATTTCCTTTCACTATGGGGAGATTTCCTCCCTGTTGTCAAGACAGGAAATGAATGACAATCTCCCAGCAGGACAGAGAGCACAAAAACCTATGGGTTTTAACCCTTTTCTACTATATCCAAAACTAAAAAACGTTTTACCTTTATATTCACTTTAATGATCGCTGTATATATACTGTATATATATGTTTTATATTTTGTCTTTAAATCTAACAGCTAGAAGACATCACAGGACAAGGAGACATCGTCAGCACTGGCATCACCCACACAAACAACAAACTCATGACACAAATCACCAACACCGCCACCACCATAACAATAATCATCATCATCACCACCACAACCATCACCACAAGAACCAACATCACAACCAGCACAAATCCCACCGTGAGAGAAGAAAAGAAGATCGGCACACACACAGGAGAGATAAGGACACTTACTACTAAGAAGTATCTGGCCACTGAGTCTTGAAAATGTCACCTACTGCCAAGATACCCGTCAACCACTGGGATATAATGCACCCGAAGACTTAATAACCCCAATCCTGTTTAATACTAGATGTTTCTGAGATGTGTTCATTGGAAATAGCACCAGGTTTAATACGACTGTTTTTGTTTTCTGTAAATCTGGTGTTGTATGTGTCTTACACCAAACCTTTCCATAACTGGGCAATGGAACTAAAATATCCATAAACAACTCAGAGGACCATACAGTTGCTTGCTGTAATACCTGCCACTTCACCTTCTACATTTCCAAGAAGCAAGAAATAGACATTCAGGCCCATTTCTTCAAAAACTCTTTTGAAAAGATTCTCTCAAATTATTATTTTATAATTTTTATTTGGGAAGAACGGCAAGAAAATAAGGCCACTCAATTTCTGATGAAGATTTGTTAAATAATAACCCCCAATCAAAGAAACCATTTGGATAATCACAAACACCGGGACCATTTATGGTAGACAATACGAACAATTTAGGGTCACAGTATGAGCCTGGCAGAACTCATTATCACTGATTAAAGTGTACACTGGCAGAAAGGTCAATAATTCAATGGTAAAAAGGACACTATATTAATCTGCTTCTGCTTATATGTGGGGAACGGTTTTGCTTAAATACACAGGGCAATCTGGGCTCTTGGGGTTCTCTGTAGCAGTCTTTGATTTTCGGCCCTGTACAGTTTTGGTGGCTATATTAATTTGTGGCATTTATTATATTTTAAGAAAATTGACTTACTGAGGTGAATTGAATCTCAGTATGCTGTTGCATAATGTAAAATGTTAAATTGTGCATTATTAAAAGAAAATCAGTGTCTTTTGCCACTCCACTTGATACTTGTGGTAGAGCAATGCTACATTTTTATTACCCCCTGAGCAGTGAAAAGGCTAAGAATATGTGCAAAGGATTGTGTTTTTAATTTGCCTTGCTTCAACGTCAGGTATGCAGAAGACATATTAATGCCCACATAGAGAGCACGGATCTTTATCCGAGCATAATTATTATTGCATACAAGCACCTACCAAAGTGGACTAAAGTGTAGCTGTGGTAAAGTAGATCTTGTCTTATTTTCCCTTAAAATTGTCACGTTATGAGCCGAATTTAACAAGTGCCTATGTGCATTGTAGTGGCTTTACTCCATTTACATCAGTGTTCTCTATAACCTCATATTTACAAGCCCCTTAAAAGAAGAACATTTCTAAGTTAGAATGAGGGTACAATATATAGGAGGCACCATAATGTACAACATCTTACCTTTACCACAATCCCCAAGCACCATGATCCTCAGCCAAAGCCCCATCAAAAATCAAGTATGTAGCACAGATGACACTCCTTCTGCCTTCCATAATGCAGTTCTTAGTGTATGAACAGTCATTTGCCAGGCCTGAGAACTGACAAGTGGATGACAAGAAGAATGCCAAGCTCTATACAAATAACACATTTCAGAAAGTCAGGATTTGAATAAAATTTTAATCAATAAAATTCATCACTGCTAGTGATGGATCACGACAGTGGTGTAATGCGGTAAAGGTAAGAGCAGAGAAATCACAGTGCCTGCTGTGCATCCTTAGTCATACTACAGTATGTGTAGTATGAGAGTTTCTTCTTTGCTACTGGTTCATCTTAGGAAGCTAAGTAGCTGTGTACACAGGTGCTAGCTTTGAAAAGGGTTGGGAAAGGGTTCTCAGAGTGGAAAATATAAGGCTTATTTATAAAGATTGTTAAAATAATTGCTTGCATCACACATTGCCCTATTTCACAGCTGACTTTCTTTTCCCATTCATAAATATGTGAACTGAGAAGCTGGGGTGTTAAAGCATTGCATTGAGGAGGTGAAAAGGTGAAAGACCTCATTATGGCACCTTCAGGAAACTGTTCCTTCCAGCTTTTCTCCATTAACAATAGTGGGTTTGGTTACTTCTGAGTGAAAACAGTAGAAAGGATTTGTAAATCAAGGAAAAATGTCTAGAAATGGATTTCACTGGGGTATTTAAAACTTAATGGAAAGCTGGTGATATGATCTGGGGCAGCTTCCTAAACAGGTGGAAGTAATGGGAATATACTGCATACTTCAACCTTTATAAATAGGCTCCTAAGGGTGGGATAAGGGTTGGGGGAAGCTCTGTTTTTGGTATTATTACTGTTTGCTTACAGATAACCTGTGCGATTTTGTGGTAGGAATTTGATCCCCTTAGTTCTTGCTGGTTTGCTGTCCTTTGGTTATTTTAGCTGTGTGGGTGTAAGAGTGAATGAGTATATGTCTGTTTATATTTATATTGTGTGTACATAAGTAAGCCCTAGTTTAAAACATGAATTTCAACTGGATCATAACTTTCTCTGAACTCAGATTGATTTTCAACTAGGATGTATTGAATTTGTACTGGAATGTTCTATGAGTCACCAGGTAGTGCTACTGCAGCCAAAACGTTGTTGATTTCAATATAGTGGGGAAGAGTTAAAACCTTTGTCAAATTGTAATTGCTCTCTTTTGTCCAGTTACACATCCTGTACTAGTGAAGGTAGTCACTGAAACAGGAAGAGTAGAAAACCTCTCCTGCCGGAAGATAGTATAAAAACAACTGTCACAGGTTTTGATTTATTTTGGATGCCTTGGGGATCAGTGCGTGTGACCACTGTCTTTGGGGCAAGAATTTTGGACAATAACCCCAAAGAGTATGCAGACAGCAATATATACCTACCATAGGTTTTATTTGCCTACTGCCCTTCCCGCTGAACTAAAAAAAGATTTGTTCTGCCTTCTGTGCTCCCATTAGAGTGATTTCCCCACTCTTTCTGTTTAAGTGCCGAACATCACATAGATGGGAAGTGAGGGAAATAATACCCAATAGGACCACATATAGCAATAAAAACCTTCTACTTACCCACTTTGTCAAAATATAATTTTAAAATACTACATAATCCACGGGTAGCTAGTGTACAGCTCTGCTCCTGTTTATCTATGCAGGATTTGCATGGACTTATGGAAAGTGCCACTGAAGGAAGGATAGATAAGACATTTAATGTACAATATGTTTGGAATGCTCATCAAGCTGTTTTATGAAATGGCTGAGTATGGATAAATTGGCATTTGAGGGCACGACTGCTATCACAACATTCTGATACACACCTTTTCATTTATGTTATCATCTCTGGACAGCTTTAAGTATAGATCAATTTTACACACTAAGACAAGAAATAACACAACTCAATTTCTTTTCTTATCTTTTAACAACCCAAAAATAGTAGTCAGGCATTCTGATGCGATAGGAGTGGTAGAAAAGCTCCTGCTACATTTTATCATCCTTATAACGGGCATTCTGTGTCTAGTACTAATCTAGACATATCTATCATAGACTATCTATGACATAATAACTACCCTTATCCAATAAAGAGTTATTATTTTTAATGCAAGTACCCCTTAGCAACCTATTCAATTTACTTTGCTGTAGTCACACCAGGAGAGGATGAATTCTACTTGGTTTCTTTGTGCTTCTACACTTGAAGATTAGCACTTCCATCTTGCATAAGGAAAAACAAGAGCATGTCATATGTGACATACTCTATTTTCCAGATCACCAAAAACGACACACGTAAACCATCATTTTTACTTCTTGATTGTTATATTTGTGTTTAACAAAACCAATTTCTATTGGTTGTCACAAACATTCTTTAACAACATCCTTATCCAGGACATATTTAACATAAGCACTATCATATCCTTGGGGTTCTGTAAATGTTACACTGTCCATCTTGGTCTGCATTTAATATATTATAACTTTAAACATGCACATGCACATGGACATAATGAATAGATTATAAAGAATGTCAGACTTATTTTCCAGTAGAAATCCAGCTAAAAGTTTTCATGTAATTTGGAGACTGTGGGTAAAGTTTATCAAATCTATATTTACCGGTGTCTTTCAGGTTTGTTCACAAAAGGGTGAAGAGTTTGGAGAAGGCAGGAGACGTGAACAATCTAGGACAACATAGCTGATTTGGAAAAATTCTCCAATTCAGTTCACTTTCCAGTTCAGCTATGTTGTCCTAGATTGTTCACTTCTCCTGCCTACTCCAAACTGCGTTTGTTTCTGTAGGAAAGATCTCCCCTCATTTCCTGTTCTGGAGACATCACAGGAAGTGAGAGAAAAAACATTCCCAAATTGACAGTTGTCAGCAGAACAACAGAATGTATGTTTGGGAAATTTCTCTTTACCTCCTGTTCCAGTGACAAATGTAAAATTTTAGTTTTTCCTCAGCTTTTGTTACGTTGACTACTGTCATGGGTACAATAAATGAGGGAAAAGCTCACAAGCAAAGACAAAGACAGAAATAAAATCTAACACAGGATCTAATTCTTCCCCACTCTATCCAAAACTTTTTGACTGGGGTTTCATTTCAGGTAAGTGTATATCAATGACATTTACCACAGCAGTATTCCTTTAAATTCATATTGCCTTTCAAGTAACATAAAAGATTTTGTAGAACTTACTGTTTACCAGTATGACACAGTAGTGACTTAGTCTGCGCTAAGAAATATAAATAGGGTGATGGAAGAATGTGATGGATGAATGCTTCAAAATGCTCCACCCAGCAGCATTTTGTTTTCTTAGTTTGCATTATTTTTAAGTGTAGAACACTGTACAATTTTCAAAACGAATGTGCTGTATAAACACTGTGCATTGATGTCAGGCTGAACAGTTTTAATAAAGTTGCTGTTTTTTTTAACAACTCCGTTATATATTTATACGTTGAAATAAATAACACAACCGCGGCATAGAAACTTCAAATATTCATGTTATTGTCTATTATAAAAGATGGACGTTAAAATGATGACTACTGGCACACTAAGCAGCCCTTGCTGACAAATGTCTCATTTAGAACAAGAGGATAATCCCAGCTCTTGAGCAATGAATCACTTTCTATATGATGTGATCCATATTCAGTAAAGTACTATAGAGAGCAGTAACCCACAACATTGTCAGTTAACTGAGTTCAGACCACTGAGACATGAAAACCGAATGACATTAGTATGTTACCGTAATTTGAACACGGTTCCTTGTCTTTTTAAGAGTACACACAGTTTACGTTTGAACATGAGTAGCCTTCTGCTGCAACAGGAACAATGGGGTCTATTCACCAAGCAGCCGAAGGATCTAGCTGTAGCTTCGGCCGATCCTTCGGCTTGCTTCGGCCCCAGGACCCCTTCGGTTCAGTAGAACCGAAGAGCTGCTGTACGGGCTATTCACTATAGCCCGTACAGCTCCCCAACTTGGCCGAGCGGCTCAGTCGAGCCGAACGCATATGCCTCGGCTTGGCTGAGCCGCTCTGAAAGCCAAAGCTGGCCGAGCGGCTGGCCATTGGACGTCCGACAACCTGCTTCTGATGGCTGGGCAGAGCCAGCCGTGATCTTACGGCTGGCTCCGGCCACTTGCAGAGAGATCAGCGTCCCTGGTTACCAGCTAACCAGGGACACTGATCTCCAGACAGAAAACTCTCCCTGGCGCTCCGGGAGTCTCCCGCTCCCGGCCGCCACGGAGAGAAACACTGCTTTTTCCTTTTTTTCTTATTCTGACACGGAGCCATGTCAGAATAGAAAAAATAAATAAAAAAATTTGGCCATAGTAATGTATTGCTAGATTCCTATTGGCTATTACAATTTGCAATAGCCAATAGCAAACTAGCATTGCACCCGCCCTAAAAATAATACACAAAAATGACAATT